TATGTACTGTAGATGTTTTTCTTCCTCAACTTGATGACTGTACCCCGAAATCGGCACAATGGTCAATTTAGCCACTCACGGGCAAAATGTTCGCGAGTGACTAAATTTCTAATTGTGGGGAGCAAATGTGTTGTGATAGGCTGAGCATCGACTGTACAACACAAATTTGTAACGGCATCCCAGCAGGGGCAACGGGAGACTCGAGATAAATCCTCGTTTGTGGGCCTCCGTTTGTGTGCAACGGCAGAGTAATTGCATAAAATCAGTATGGTTGTGAAGCTAGGCTTCGGCTTGAAAAACCACCCTGACTGGCTAACAAGGATAACACGTGTCCTACAAATAAGGTAACCGTAGCCTAAATACTAATATAAACGGCTTTACGTAACTCTACTATTTATGTGCGGCCATTACGATACCAACGCCACGACTGCAACCGAAGCTTCACTATAAGCAAAGCAAGCAGGCGGAAGAAGACTAGCATAGCGACGAGAATGCTCGCTTCCAACCACCCATTCCCGGGTAACGGATTCTTTATACCCGATAGCTCCAGAGTAGCCGCACACGAGCATGTGTTGGCAGTGGCAGCAGAGCTGTTAGAAGGCGATATGCCACAGTTACCAGTGTAGTATTCGGCAGAATCAAAGTTGATTCGCATTAACAACTGGCGAGTGGGAAATTGCAGCATGAATGGGCCAGGCAGCGGAAAGGGGTGGTGGGGAGGGGGGGACGATTGAGGGCAAATGAGTGAGCGTGCAAGAGGAAAGATGAAGCAAAGAACGCAGCCAATAAAGCAGTCCAGAGTGCAGCACAGGATGTAGCCCAGGCACAGAAGTGAAAGTATGGAAAGCGCACAAAAGTACATCATATGGCTGAGGGCAAATATAGAGCTAACTATCTGGACCTTTTTTTCTCTCTTTTTTATTTTGTAAGAGCACGCCTCTGATAAATGTGGGATTATTCAAGGCTCCAAGAAATGACTCACCTTGTTGACGTAGGTGGAGAAGGAGAGGTACTGCGTCCACCCCACCCAGTCGGGGGGACTAAGAGACAAGAAATGCACGACCATCACCGACAGCAGCTGCAGGATCGCCGCTATTGAGATCCCCTGTTTCACTGTAGACGATGCCGTGCCGACCGCCATCCCAATGGACGAAGCCACCATCGTATCTAGGATAAGGACGAGAGTGAATAAGACGAACCGGCCGCCCGACGGGTTCAGCCCGGTCATCCAGTAGACGATGAGGCTGTAGAAGACAGGTGGCAGGATCTCGTATGGCAGGCTGAGGAGCGTCCGGGCGGCGTAGTACGCGGAGATATGATACACGCCGTCCTCTTGCTCTTTTTGGACTGACTTGCGGTCTTCTAAAAAGGTGATGACGGAGGTGAGCATGGGCACGAGGCCCCAGAAGAACTGTGAGAAGAAAATCAGCCCTGCCAGGTCGCGAACTCCCTGGGCTGTGGTGGGGTCGCGCTTGTACCACAGGCAGCCTGGTGTGGATGGGGTGAGGTGGATTGGAGGGCTGTGAGGAGGTGATGACAGAGGTGAGCATGGGCACGAGTCCCCAGAAGAACTGAGAGAAGAAAATCAACGCCGCCAGGTCCCCAACCCCTTGCCCTGTCGTGGGGTCACACTTGTACCACAGGCAGCCTGAGGAGGGTGGGGTGAGAAGGATGGGAGGATTGTGGGGAGGAAGGTGATGAGGAAGGTGATGAGGAAGGTGATGAGGAAGGTGATGAGGAAGGTGATGAGGAAGGTGATGAGGAAGGTGATGAGGAAGGTGATGAGGAAGGTGATGAGGAAGGTGATGAGGAAGGTGATGAGGAAGGTGATGAGGAAGGTGATGAGGAAGGTGATGAGGAAGGTGATGAGGAAGGTGATGAGGAAGGTGATGAGGAAGGTGATGAGGAAGGTGATGAGGAAGGTGATGAGGAAGGTGATGAGGAAGGTGATGAGGAAGGTGATGAGGAAGGTGATGAGGAAGGTGATGAGGAAGGTGATGAGGAAGGTGATGAGGAAGGTGATGAGGAAGGTGATGAGGAAGGTGATGAGGAAGGTGATGAGGAAGGTGAGAGGTGATGAGGAAGGTGATGAGGAAGGTGATGAGGAAGGTGATGAGGAAGGTGATGAGGAAGGTGATGAGGAAGGTGATGAGGAAGGTGATGAGGAAGGTGATGAGGAAGGTGATGAGGAAGGTGATGAGGAAGGTGATGAGGAAGGTGATGAGGAAGGTGATGAGGAAGGTGATGAGGAAGGTGATGAGGAAGGTGATGAGGAAGGTGATGAGGAAGGTGATGAGGAAGGTGATGAGGAAGGTGATGAGGAAGGTGATGAGGAAGGTGATGAGGAAGGTGATGAGGAAGGTGATGAGGAAGGTGATGAGGAAGGTGATGAGGAAGGTGATGAGGAAGGTGATGAGGAAGGTGATGAGGAAGGTGATGAGGAAGGTGATGAGGAAGGTGATGAGGAAGGTGATGAGGAAGGTGATGAGGAAGGTGATGAGGAAGGTGATGAGGAAGGTGATGAGGAAGGTGATGAGGAAGGTGATGAGGAAGGTGATGAGGAAGGTGATGAGGAAGGTGATGAGGAAGGTGATGAGGAAGGTGATGAGGAAGGTGATGAGGAAGGTGATGAGGAAGGTGATGAGGAAGGTGATGAGGAAGGTGATGAGGAAGGTGATGAGGAAGGTGATGAGGAAGGTGATGAGGAAGGTGATGAGGAAGGTGATGAGGAAGGTGATGAGGAAGGTGATGAGGAAGGTGATGAGGAAGGTGATGAGGAAGGTGATGAGGAAGGTGATGAGGAAGGTGATGAGGAAGGTGATGAGGAAGGTGATGAGGAAGGTGATGAGGAAGGTGATGAGGAAGGTGATGAGGAAGGTGATGAGGAAGGTGATGAGGAAGGTGATGAGGAAGGTGATGAGGAAGGTGATGAGGAAGGTGATGAGGAAGGTGATGAGGAAGGTGATGAGGAAGGTGATGAGGAAGGTGATGAGGAAGGTGATGAGGAAGGTGATGAGGAAGGTGATGAGGAAGGTGATGAGGAAGGTGATGAGGAAGGTGATGAGGAAGGTGATGAGGAAGGTGATGAGGAAGGTGATGAGGAAGGTGATGAGGAAGGTGATGAGGAAGGTGATGAGGAAGGTGATGAGGAAGGTGATGAGGAAGGTGATGAGGAAGGTGATGAGGAAGGTGATGAGGAAGGTGATGAGGAAGGTGATGAGGAAGGTGATGAGGAAGGTGATGAGGAAGGTGATGAGGAAGGTGATGAGGAAGGTGATGAGGAAGGTGATGAGGAAGGTGATGAGGAAGGTGATGAGGAAGGTGATGAGGAAGGTGATGAGGAAGGTGATGAGGGAAGGTGATGAGGAAGGTGATGAGGAAGGTGATGAGGAAGGTGATGAGGAAGGTGATGAGGAAGGTGATGAGGAAGGTGATGAGGAAGGTGATGAGGAAGGTGATGAGGAAGGTGATGAGGAAGGTGATGAGGAAGGTGATGAGGAAGGTGATGAGGAAGGTGATGAGGAGGTGATGAGGAAGGTGATGAGGAAGGTGATGAGGAAGGTGATGAGGAAGGTGATGAGGAAGGTGATGAGGAAGGTGATGAGGAAGGTGATGAGGAAGGTGATGAGGAAGGTGATGAGGAAGGTGATGAGGAAGGTGATGAGGAAGGTGATGAGGAAGGTGATGAGGAAGGTGATGAGGAAGGTGATGAGAAGGTGATGAGGAAGGTGATGAGGAAGGTGATGAGGAAGGTGATGAGGAAGGTGATGAGGAAGGTGATGAGGAAGGTGATGAGGAAGGTGATGAGGAAGGTGATGAGGAAGGTGATGAGGAAGGTGATGAGGAAGGTGATGAGGAAGGTGATGAGGAAGGTGATGAGGAAGGTGATGAGGAAGGTGATGAGGAAGGTGATGAGGAAGGTGATGAGGAAGGTGATGAGGAAGGTGATGAGGAAGGTGATGAGGAAGGTGATGAGGAAGGTGATGAGGAAGGTGATGAGGAAGGTGATGAGGAAGGTGATGAGGAAGGTGATGAGGAAGGTGATGAGGAAGGTGATGAGGAAGGTGATGAGGAAGGTGATGAGAAGGTGATGAGGAAGGTGATGAGGAAGGTGATGAGGAAGGTGATGAGGAAGGTGATGAGGAAGGTGATGAGGAAGGTGATGAGGAAGGTGATGAGGAAGGTGATGAGGAAGGTGATGAGGAAGGTGATGAGGAAGGTGATGAGGAAGGTGATGAGGAAGGTGATGAGGAAGGTGATGAGGAAGGTGATGAGGAAGGTGATGAGGAAGGTGATGAGGAAGGTGATGAGGAAGGTGATGAGGAAGGTGATGAGGAAGGTGATGAGGAAGGTGATGAGGAAGGTGATGAGGAAGGTGATGAGGAAGGTGATGAGGAAGGTGATGAGGAAGGTGATGAGGAAGGTGATGAGGAAGGTGATGAGGAAGGTGATGAGGAAGGTGATGAGGAAGGTGATGAGGAAGGTGATGAGGAAGGTGATGAGGAAGGTGATGAGGAAGGTGATGAGGAAGGTGATGAGGAAGGTGATGAGGAAGGTGATGAGGAAGGTGATGAGGAAGGTGATGAGGAAGGTGATGAGGAAGGTGATGAGGAAGGTGATGAGGAAGGTGATGAGGAAGGTGATGAGGAAGGTGATGAGGAAGGTGATGAGGAAGGTGATGAGGAAGGTGATGAGGAAGGTGATGAGGAAGGTGATGCAGGAAGGTGATGAGGAAGGTGATGAGGAAGGTGATGAGGAAGGTGATGAGGAAGGTGATGAGGAAGGTGATGAGGAAGGTGATGAGGAAGGTGATGAGGAAGGTGATGAGGAAGGTGATGAGGAAGGTGATGAGGAAGGTGATGAGGAAGGTGATGAGGAAGGTGATGAGGAAGGTGATGAGGAAGGTAAGCATGGGCACGAGTCCCGAGAATGGGCACCACGCGGGTTGACAGACAGCACATGCCAACCAAGGTGACTGTTGAGGCGATTCAACCTTCCTCTTATACACGCACCTGGCAGTAAGGAGCACACAACCAGGCTCGCCGCCACCACACCCACGAAGATCCAGTCCTGATTCACCACCCGGTACGACAGCACATGCCGCCGTGCCAGCACACGGAACTGGTAACCCCATGACGTCACCCACCTCTTCCCACTCCCCACTCCGCCTCCTCCCCCTCCTCCCCCACCCGCTCCTCCCCCTCCCCCTCCCCCCCCACTCGCTACCCGCCAGTCTGTAGTTGCATCTACATCCCTCACGCGAGTTCCCACACCCCCTTCCTCTCCCCCTCCTGTCCCCGCTCCCCCTCCTGCTCCCTCCCCTTCCTCAACATCCCCATTCCCAGCGTCTTTCCCCTTGCGTCTCTTAGCAGAGGCAGCAGCAGCAGAGGGCATGGCGGCTCGCTCTATCTCCCTGGCGGCGTCACCGGTGGCCCACAGGCGGATGAGGTTGGTGGACGTGCCGAAATGAATCGATGCGTCCGCTGCTTCGGGGGCCGTCAGGTCCTGAAAGGATGGGAAGGAAAAAGGGTGAGCGGAATGGTACAGGGGGGTAAGGGAAGAGTAAAAAAATGGGGGAGAGCAGCAGGAGAAGAGGGCAGAGCACAACCAGCCAGTGAGCAGTGTGGTCTTTAGGCGCTCACCAGGACTAACTCGGCAGCACTAAGGTCTGGGGCCATGGTGTGGCCAATGGAGTCAAATTAGGGCAGGGAAGGGAAGGAGTGGGCAGCCAGCGATTTGATGAGAAAGGAGCAGTGAGGGCACAGGCACTCACGAGGAAGAACTCGGCAGCGCTGGTGTCCGGGGCCATGGTGTAGCCGATGGAGTCGAAGTAGGGGAGAGCGGCATCAGCCGCGCCGAAGAAGATGGGGTTTCCGTCGGTGATGAGGAGGAGGTGCGTGAAGAGAGAGAACATCTTGGAGGACGGCTGCTTCATTGTTGCTACCACTGATCTGCCTGCTAGCGCATATGAGTGCAGAGCTCTGGTTATGCGGAGAGCCATGGCACCATCGAGACTGGGAAGAGGGTATTGAGGAAAAAGGGCGGAGGGATGGGAGAAAGAGGGATGGGAGAAAGCGGGAAGGGGAGCGGGAAGAGGGGAAAGAGAGCAAAGGGGGAAGAAGATGGGGTTGCCGGTGGTGATGAGAAGGAGGTGAGTGAAGAGAGAGAACATCTTTCATGATGGCTGCTTCATTGTTGCCACTACCGACCGGCCCGCTAGCGCGTAGGAATGCAACGCTCTTGTAATGTGGAGAGCCCCGGCCCCATGGAGCCACGAATGTGAGGTCCCACTCAAGAGCCCCGGCCCCATGGAGCCACGAATGTGAGGTCCCACTCAAGAGCCCCGGCCCCATGGAGCCACGAATGTGAGGTCCCACTCAAGAGCCCCGGCCCCATGGAGCCACGAATGTGAGGTCCCACTCAAGAGCCCCGGCCCCATGGAGCCACGAATGTGAGGTCCCACTCAAGAGCCCCGGCCCCATGGAGCCACGAATGTGAGGTCCCACTCAAGAGCCCCGGCCCCATGGAGCCACGAATGTGAGGTCCCACTCAAGAGCCCCGGCCCCATGGAGCCACGAATGTGAGGTCCCACTCAAGAGCCCCGGCCCCATGGAGCCTGACAGGCGGCTTGGGAGATGCAGGCGCGAAGAGAGAGCACATCTTGGAGGAGGGGGGAAGAGGGTGGGAAGAGAGAGAACATCTTGGAGGAGGGGGGAAGAGGGTGGGAAGAGAGAGAACATCTTGGAGGAGGGGGGAAGAGGGTGGGAAGAGAGAGAACATCTTGGAGGAGGGGGGAAGAGGGTGGGAAGAGAGAGAACATCTTGGAGGAGGGGGGAAGAGGGTGGAAAGAGAGAAAACATCTTGGAGGAGGGGGGAAGAGGGTGGGAAGAGAGAGAACATCTTGGAGGAGGGGGGAAGAGGGTGGGAAGAGAGCGGTTGAGGGGGGACCAATATGAGGGCAGGGCTCGGGGTATGCTCTGCACTCATATGACTGCAATCATGGCACCATCAAGACTGGGATTGGGGAAGAGGGGGAGGAACATCACGACCTAACAATGTCACAACGTGACAGTGTAACAGTGTACTAGTATATATTGCAGTGAACTAGAATATTTAACAGTGTACTAGTATATGTAACACTGTACTAGTACATATAACAGTGTACTAGTATATGTAACAGTGTACTAGTATATATAGCAGTGTACTAGTATATATAACAGTGCGCTAGTGTGACAGTATAGCACGGTAACCCCACAAACAACCCACCCCGAAGTCGGTTCATCACAGCAGCAGCGGCGGATTGACGATCATCTGCACACTGATGGCCAGGCGCCTAACCCACCACACACCCCCCCATGTGACCATGCACCCCCCACTTACCCACCCCAACAGTGATCCCCTAACCCTCACCACCCACCCTGAGGTCGGTTCATCCGGCAGCAGCAGACAGCTGACAGCCAACACGCACCCTGCATGCGACAATGCACGCGTAACACCGTAACAAGGTAACCCCACCCACTACTCACCCAGAGGTCGGTTCGTCCAGCAGCAGCAGCGGCGGGTTGACAATCATCTGCACCCCGATGGCCAGCCACATACACTCCCACATGTGACCATGCACCCCCCAGTCATCCCCTACCCCCCCGGTACCCACCCCGAAGTTGGTTCATCGAGCAGCAGCAGCGGTGGGTTGACGATCATTTGCACCCCAATGGCCAGTCGCCTGAGCTCGTTGTACAGCACTGCATTGCGCCCCGTGCGCCCTATCACCTTGTCCGCACAGCTGGGGAGGGGGGAGAATTGGAGGGAGAAGGAGAGGGAGTGAGGGGGGATTGGGGAGGATGGGGAGGGAGATGGGGGAATGGGGAGATGGGGTTGGGATAGTGCAGGTGCACCAGTCGGGTGTTTTTGAGAATTCTCAAAAACACCCTGGTGCACCAGTCGCCTGAGCTCGTTATACAGCACCGCGTTGCGCCCTGTGCGCCCTATCGCCTTGTCCGCACAGCTGGGGGGGTGTCATTAAAGGAAAGGGGAGGAAGTGGAAGCAGGGTGCGCATAGGGGGTAAGGGTTTGAGAGGTTATGGGATAAAGGGGCGGAGGAGGAAAGAAGAGTGCACCAGCTGACTTTTGAGTCGACTCAAAAGTCAACTCGAGCAGGGTGCGCATGGGGGCAAGGGTTTGAGAGGTTATGGGAAAAAGGGGCGGAGGAGGAAAGAAGAGTGCACCAGGCGCCTGAGCTCGTTGTACAGCACTGCATTGCGCCCCGTGCAACCTATCACCTTGTCCGCGCAGCTGGGGGGGGGAGGCGGAGGAGGGGGAGGGGGAGGGCGGGGGAAGGGGGAGGGGGGGGGGAAGGGGGAAGGGCGTGGGGAGCAAAGCGCTTGAGCTCGTTGTATAGCACTGCGTTGCTTGCGCCCCGTGCAACCTATCACCTTGTCCGCGCACCCACCCGTGCAACCTATCACCTTGTCCACCCACCCACCCACCCACCCACCCAAACCCCCTGCCAGCATCACTCACTGTGTGAGCTACTGCGAGTCAAACACATGCTCCACTCGCACTCTCTGCACACCCCATGCACCCAGCCACCACCCTCCCCCCCTCCCATCTCAGCAGCACTCACTGTGTGAGCTAAAGCGAGTCCCGCACATGCTCCACACCACGCGCACGGTCTGGTCTGGTCCATCTCCTCCGTGCCCTCACTGCACCCCCTGTGAGCAACCAGCACACCACCCATCTAATCACCCACCCACCCACGCAATCACTCATCCCCTACCCCATTCTCCACTCACTGTGTGAGCTCCAGTGAATCCAGCACATGCTCCACTCGCACGATCTGATCTATCCCCTCCGCGCCCTCACTTCTGCATTCCCACCCAACCACCCAACCACCCAACCACCGCAATCCACCTGCCCATCTCCCCACCCAGCCCCATATACCCATCACCCCTCCCCCTCGTCCCTCCACTCACTGAGTGAGCTCCAGCGAGTCAAGCACATGCTCCACTCGCACGATCTGGTCGATCTCCTCCGTGCCCTCAGGCAGCCGCAGCATGGCCGCGAACATGAGCGTCTCCTTTACCTGCGGCCGGAAGGGGGGAGAGGGGGAAGGGGAGGGGGGAGGGGGAGGAAGGAGGATAAGATGGTAAGCACACTGATTCTTGGATCTCCTCCGTGCCCTCGGGCAGGCGCAGCATGGCTGCGAACATGAGCGTCTGTTTCACCTGCCGGGGGGTGGAGGCGGGGGGGTGGATGAGGGGGAGAGGATGAGCGAGAGGAGGGGCGAGTGTCTCTGCAATCTCCTCCGTGTCCTCGGGCAGCCGCAGCATGGCCGCGAACATGAGCGTCTCCTTCATCTGCGGCCGGAAGGGGGGAGAGGGGGAAGGGGAGGGGGGAGGGGGTGGAAGGAGGAAAAGAGGTAAGCACACTGATTCTTGGATCACCTCCGTGCCCTCAGGCAGACGCAGCATGGCTGCGAACATGAGCGTCTGTTTCACCTGCCGGGGGGTGGATGAGGGGGAGAGGATGAGCGAGAGGAGGGGCGAGTGTGTCTCTGCAATCTCCTCCGTGCCCTCGGGCAGCCGCAGCATGGCCGCGAACATGAGCGTGGGGTTGGGGTTGAAGGGGTGGGTGTGGAAGGGTGGGGTTGGGGTTGAAGGGGTGGGAGTGGAAGGGTGGGGGGAGCGGTTAGCTCCCTTGTTTGCTCTCCTCCGTGCCTTCTCCGTGCCCTCTCCATGCCCTCTCCATGCCCTCTCAGTGCCCTCAGGCAGCCGCCGCATGGCCGCGAACATGAGCGTCTCTGAGAGGAGGGAGGGCGGAGTTGGGGGAGGGAGATGATTCATAACGTCTTGCTCAACTGGCCAAAACAAGTCATACTCACCGTCAGATCGCCATGCAAGCCAACCCCCACCGTCAGATCAACCAGCCGGCCAACCCTCGCCGTCGGATCACCCATCCAAAATCAATCCTCACGGTCAGATTGGCCTGCAGGTCGACGTCGTTCTCCACGAACCCAATCTCGCGCCTCAGCGTGGCCCCAAACGGCTTGCCGCTGTACTCTATGCTCCTTCTTCTGCGCACCCCTCCCCTCCTACACCCAATCCTCCCGTGAACTTTGGCAGAAGAAGCTGGCTGGCAGAAGAAGCTGGCTCGCAGCTCAACCACGGACCATGAAGTGATCCTCACCGCCAGATCGCCCTGCAAGCCAACCCCCACCGTCAGATCACCCATCCAAACAAATCCTCACCGTCAGATTGGCCTGCAGGTCGACGTCGTTCTCCACGAACCCAATCTCGCGCCTCAGCGTGGCCCCAAACGGCTCGCCGCTGTACTCTATGCTGCCGCGGAAGTTGGCGTCGCCCTCCAGCCGCCCCGCCAGCATGTGCAGCAGCAGCGACTTGCCTGACCCTTCAGGACTGGGGGGAGGGGAGGGGAGGCGAGGGGAACGCAGGGCAGCAGGAGAGGGAAGTTGGCGTCGCCCTCCAGCCGCCCCGCCAGCATGTTCAGCAGCAGAGATTTTCCAGATCCCTCGGGACTAGGGGAGAGAGAGATAAGGTTCACAGAGGGGAGGGGAGGGGTAAAAAAAAGGGGGAGAGGGAAGGACGGGGAGATGGGGTGGGTGGTCCTGAAGGCCCCAAACGGCTCCCCGCTGTACTCTATGCTGCCGCGGACATTGGGGTCGCCCTCCAGCCGCCCCGCCAGCATGTGCAGCAGCAGCGACTTGCCCGACCCTTCCGGACTGCGTTGAGCGAGGGAGGGGAGGGGGGCATAGGGGAAGGAGGAGTTGGCGTCGCCCTCCCTCCAGCCGCCCCGCCAGCATGTGCAGCAGCAACGACTTTCCAGATCCCTCAGGGCTGGATTGTGGGGAGGGGAGGAAGACGGGGTGGAGAGGGAGTTGGGGTGGGTCGCCCTCCAGCCGCCCCGCCAGCATGTGCAGCAGCAGCGACTTGCCTGATCCCTCGGGGCTGAGAGCGAGGGGAGGGGAGGGGAGGGGGAGCAAGGGGAAGGGAGGGGGGGAGGAGAAGGGGAGGAGGAAGTGGAGGGAGGGGAAGGGAAGGGAGGGGAGGGGAGCGAGGGAAAGCGAGGGAGGAGAGGGAGAGGAGGGGAGGGAGGTGAGGGAGGGGAAGGAGCCACTCCCCCCGTAAGGTTCATCACGACCTTGTTGCTAGTCGCACATGCAATCAACAATCCCATCCCACTCGCTCACTCACCCCATGACGGCCAGCCGGTTGCCTGCCAGGCGCCTACCCCCCCTGACGTTCATCATGACCTTCTTGCGGTAGATGGTGGCACACGCACTCACCCAAGCCAACCGCACCCCACACTATCCCACTCCCACCCACCCCACGCCATCCCACTCCCACCCGCTCACCCCATGACGCCCAGCAGGTTGCCAGGAGCGACCCCTCCCGTGGCGTTCATCATGACCTTGTTGCGGTAGATGGTGGCACACGCGCTCACCCATCCCAACCTCACCCCACACTATCCCACACCTACTCACCCCAGCAACCATCCCACACTCACTCACCCCATGATGGCAAGGAGATTGCCCGGCGCCACGCCCCCCGTGACGTTCATCATGACCTTCTTTCGGTAGATGGTCGCGTCGTCCTCCGCGCGCACGCAGCACCACTTGGACTGGCGGGCGGGGCCATGCGGGGAACGGGGAAAAGGATGCGGGGATGGATGGTGTGGGTGGGTTGAAGGATGGGGGATGGTAGATGGTCGCGTCGTCCTCCGCGCGCGCGCAGCACCACTTGGACTGGCGGATGGCCGGAGCGACGGGGGCGGAGGCGAGGGGAGAAGAAGGAAGGGGGGGGAGAGAGTTGGGGAAAAGCGGGGGTGCGAAGGGGGGAGGGGCGGGAGAAGGGATCACGATCTCCGTGCGCACGCAGCACCACTTGGACTGGCGGACGGGGGGGGATGGGACGATGGGGGGATGGGGGGTGTGGGTAAGGGGTAGATGGGGGATGGTAGATGATCGCGTCGTCCTCCCGACCATTGGATGCCGATGTGCCGTATGATTATTATTTCCCTGAAAATGCTCAGATAATTGTGTTTAATAACTGTTCAAAAACTAGTGATAAGACACGCTTCAGGGACGCACATTGGCTGCCGGCACGGAGTACTGTAGCCGTGTCCACGTCACCGACATCCCTTCTGCGACGAACCCCCTCTGCGACGGCTGCGACGCCAGCGCCTTAACGGCTGCGACGACTTTCCTGTCGCGCCGCTCCGTCTGTGCGATGACTGTCGGCGCCTTCCTTCCGGCCACCACCTTCGCGCCGCCATCTCCATCCGTTATGAGGTTCGACACTTCATGCATATCCTTATCCATTGTAACAGAAAGCGCTTATCTCTGTAATGCGGCTATATAACGAAATAAAATTGTTTACGCTATCATAAGAATCAAGCTACTGGCTTCGTGTTATACGCAAGAGAGACAGAATCTACCTGATCTTAATTACCAGTAATACATCCTGCTTCGGGCACAGAATACTTAACCGAATTCCTAGAGCATCCTAGTATATAGCTACTACCCTATAATAATATATAGACCCTAGTCGTACCCTCTCATGTGGTAGCAGGTTCTCAAGACATTTGCATATCTAGTCGATTAGGAACCACTAGGAAAGGTGGTTCAACAAAGCTCAAGGCAAAAGCAATCCTCGATATAATGGCCAATCAGGTGGGGAGGGGGAATGCCGCGTGGGTCATTTCCGTGGTCCAACTGCCAAGAATGCTGTCCCACGTGGTATCCAGACGAATGACGACTCTCGGTGATTGGTTCCAATTCCAAGCTGGTGTAATGGAACAAGGGAAGTTCGACCTTCTCCGCTTGCGTGGCACCTCAAAAAAGGAGGGAACGGGAATTCGGGGCGTTCTCCAAGGTGATCATTGGTTCTGGAAACTTTCACAGTAACACTTCAGTAAAAATGAACTCTGAGATGCCATGAAGTGAATTTTGAATGGAATTTCATTGCGGAACCACAAGGTGCTTCACAACCATAAGCGAATCACGTCAGCCTCACAAGAATCACTCTTCACATGGAACAAGATGGTATTGTGCTCTGAAGGACCTGCATTAGTACTAGCTCATATGCTTTCCAAACCCATGCCAAACTCAACTAAGCACAACATAGCATGCACTGTAGGGACATCTATGGTTGTCATCAATTATGTCCTACGTCGTACCTATCTATGCTTCCATGTAAATGAACGAAGTGAAGATCCTGCAAAGACCCGGACACATTATAACATCTGTTATCAACGCAGTCATGAATTTCAACACTGCAGGCCTTTGACATGTCAGGCGCGTATGGGAAGACGCTTTCAAAAATGAGTCAAAAAAGTGGTTTTACGATACAAAGTCAGATCCCCCAGAGTGTCTTGACTGGGCATGGACATAGTTGCATATTAGAGAGTTTGTTATCTGTTACAGAGGTGCTCGGCAGAGTGTAGTGCACTCACCAGAAGGATGTCATGTAGGTGAATGTGCCCAGGAACCCCATGGCGTTGGCCCACTTGAGAAGCGTGCAGCTATCTTGACTGTAACGCGTACGCGGACAAGAACCAGAAAGGGGACGATGAGCGGGTAGGGGCAGAAAACGGTGAGAGGTTTGAAAAAGGGCAGATAACTAAACTGAAATTTATTGTTGCAAGAGAGAGGGCGCGCGAGCACAGTAGGGGAAGAGTATTCGAGAGAAAGCGGGGAGTGGAGGGGGGAGCGGGGGGAAGGGGGGGGGGGGGGGAACGGGGGAAAAGAGAAGTGGCGAGGGTAGGGGGTTGGAAGTGGTGACAGGGAGTACCGTATATGTATGCAATAAAGAGATAGGAGTAGGATGTAAGCTCGAAATGTAAGAAAATATAACAGAAAGATTACAACACACACGCACAGAACCACACACAATCACACACACACGCGCGCGCACACACACACACACACACACACACACACACGCACGCACGCACGCACACACACACGCGTGCGCGCACACACACACACAGTACGCACACATGCACACGCACACGCACGCGCACAGAGAGAGAGAGAGAGAGAGAGAGAGAGAGAGAGAGAGAGAGAGAGAGAGAGAGACAACTCACATGTAGCCGAGGAGGAAGTTGGTGGAGTAGGAGCTGCACATGCGCACCCACACCCGCACAGCCACGCGCGCACCCACACCCCTTTCCCCCCTCCCCCCACGCACAAACGTACATGTATCCGAGGAGGAAGTTGGTGGAGTACGAGCCGCACATGCGCGACGTGAAGGACGCGGACGCGCACGACGCGGCGAACAGCAGCATCATCATCATCTGCCGTGGGGGTGGGGGAGGGTGGGGGTGGGAGGTAGGAGGTGGGTGGGGGAGGGTGGGGGTGGGAGGTAGGAGGTGGGTGGGGGAGGGGGTGGGAATCCAAAGGACTCTTGAGAATCGCAACGACTCTTGACGCCCAAGATGCGTCAGGAGGAACATTTTCAGCATCATCACGCGCCAAAGAGCATCTTCATCATCTGCCATGGGGGGTGGCATCGGGACGACGAGAGGCTCGGGGGGGGGCTCGGACGAGAGGGTCGGCCGAGAGGCTCGGACGAGAGGGTCGGCCGAGAGGTTCAGAAGAGGTTCAAGGCGCGGCACGGAGGAGAGGCCGGGCGGAAAAATGAGGAGCTTCCGGAACGAGAACTAGCGAACTCGGCAACGCTTACGAAGCTTCCGAAGAGCTGCGAGCCGAGCGAGTCGAGCTTGACGCCGGCGACGTTGGCGGCGTGCACGAGCATGAGGATGAATGAGAGGATGAGGCCCGTGACGCCCGTTCCGAACAGGAATGCCGTGACGTTGATGCTCTTCCAAGAGAAGTTGAGATAGCACAGGATGCTGGGAGGCGAGGGGGGGAAAGGGGTGGGGATTGAAGGGGGAAAGGAGGAGGATGGGGGGAATAGGAAAGTGGGAATACGCCACGACGAGCGCCGAGCATGACGGCCGTGACGTTGATGCTCTTCCAGGAGAAGTTGAGATAGCACAGGATGCTGGGGGACCGGGGGGAGGGACACGGAGAAGGGGCGGGGCAAAGGGGCGTTGGGAGTTGAGAGGAGGAGAGGGGGGGCAAGGATGGGGGGCAATGGGAGAAGGAATCGGAAAAGGGTGGAAAGGGATTCGGAGAGAAGGGGGAGAGGAGGGAGGGAGGGGAGGGTGTAGAGAGTCTAGGTGTAGGGAGTCAGGTGTAGGGAGTCAGGTGTAGGGAGTCAGGTGTAGGAAGTCAGGTGTAGTACTTAACACGAACGCCGCCACGTCAGTGCTCGTCGGGTGTATATTGAGGTAGCGAAGGATGGTTGGGAGGAAAGGAGGGAGGGAGGGAGGGAAAGGAGGGAAATGAGGTGCAGGCGACGAAAAGGGGTTGGGAAAGAAGAGAGGGGAAGGGGGAAGGTGGAGAGGTGACGAGAGGAATACGCGATGAACGTTTTCAACAAGAGAACCGTAACGTTGCTGGGGAAGCGAAACAGTGGGGGTTGAGGAGAAGAATGACGATGACAAGGGGGGAGAGAAGACGGCGGAAAGGGGTAGGGAAAGAAGGGGGTTCAACATAGAAATCGGGGGGAGGAGGAGGGACGGGCTGGGAAGGAGATGAGAGGAAGGGAAAGGTTTGGAAATGGTAAGAGCAGTACACAAAGAGGCACATCGAACACATTGGAAGGCCGACGAAGATACGCATCCGGTTAGCACAGAATGATCCTACTTCTGCGGTTAACCTGGGCGGGGAACCACGGCGCGATAAGACGGATGACTCTGAAAAGGCAGGAAGGTTCTTGACCGAGCAATTGCTGGAAAGAAAGATTCGGAGCTTATAATGAGCAGATCCAACAATGAGCAGAGCACGACGGCCATCGATTTCATGGAATAAACGGGGGGACGGGCCGGGGGAGAGAAGGGGGGGATGGAAATCAAAGACGCTATAACACTGTTTCTGTGAAGCTACTCAAGCAAGAAAATAGTGGAGCTGGCTTTGACGAGAAATTGCGGTGGATGGAGAGTGTCGTACGCGAATGTTGCGGAGCAGAAGCAGCACTCGAGGAAGCGCAGAGCGAGGGGCAAAAACTTCGCCGAGCCGCCCGCCATGGCTGCGATGCTTGACCGAGTGACAACCGCGACGAGTAGAAGGAGTAGGAACGACCAGGATGAGAAAGTGGGACCACAGACACTGCTTGCGTGAAGTTTAGTTTCGACAACGAGAGATTCAACAAGTAGTGGAAAGTGAAACGTATTTGCAATTGTAGCCTAGTGCTCTGTGCGGGATGGAATGTTCTGTGTTGTGACTTCCTCCAAACTCTAGGCAGGGTGTGCTGGGTAGCTTGGGGGAGGAGAGGTGGAGGGCGGAGGGGGGAGGGGGTGGGGGGAAATTGGGGAAGGAAGGGGGGGAAGTGATGGAATCGGGGAGGGGGGTGGGTGGGGAGAGGGATGGGCGGATGGTACTGTATGAGAGGGAGGGAGATAAGGAAACAGATGGAATGTGTTTTCTTGGCAGGTCAGCCCAAAGATGGAAAGAACGCACGTTGGAGTCCCGCGGCCTGGTTTGCGCAGGTCACTAGCGCGGCTGGATGATGAAAATGGCGGGAACCACTGTCTCTGTGTATGACATGAGATTATGGCGCGTCTTGAAGGCGGTTCGACTAGTCGCCCAGTTTCATCGAATGGTCAAACGTGGACATCACGAGGATCGGACGGGTGAGGACTAACGAAAAATGGGGCACCAAATTGTGGGGCAATTGTGATGTTTTGTTCGGTCGGAGAGCCCCTTGTGGAGAGAAGGGGCACCCGTACCAGGAAAACCATCATGGCTTGAGATGTAACCTCTGTACATAAGAACTACACAAATTCGAAGGAATTTCGAAGGCTGATTGGTTACAAACTCCATGGTTCAAAGTTCAATTTAGAGCCGAATTCTTCCAGAAACTCACTTTTTCTGTTGCCCGATATCGAACTGTATCAGCCTCCAGCCAGATCGTCGCAGGAAATTTTTGCGTGTCCGCCCGAGCGCTTTTCCTATGCGCCAATACAACCATGTTCTCGCGCACAGCCCTAGGTGCGGCTCGAGCTGACTCTCCTCTTCCCCCGTCTCCCCAGTCCCACACTCCCTCCCGCCCACAATCCATCTGCGCACGTCACCTCGCACCGTCGCGCGCACTCACTCCCTTCACATTCCACCCTCCCACTTCAATTCCCCTTCTAGAACTTCCATCCGAACTGACTGTAGGGTTGTGATTGTGAGACCAGCTTCCCAAACAAACCTCTTCACCTCACATTGCACTTGGTTTCTGGCATTAGTCGAAACACACGCGCGCAGTAACTGACTGAACAGCCCACTTCCGATTGTCATCCGACTAAAATCATCACGTCGTAGGTAACAACTTCTATCAACACAAAAAACGTTTTATTCGTCGTCCTCCTCGTCGTCGTCGCCGCCTACTCGCAGCGCAGCCATGTCGGGAGACGGAAAGGACCGGAGCTCGTCGTCGTACCTCGTCATCCCCATCATCCTGCGCTTTTTGGAAATATGCTTCTGCATCGCGTCCTTCGTGTACGTCGCTCGCCTTTCGCACACGTTGGATGTCATTCCCTCCATTCTCCCGCCCCATTCCTATTCGCGCTCTATTCGCCAATGGTCGGCCCGGTAGCCACGTATAAACCGCGGAAAAAAAATAAATCTTTCGTTCAGTCGACTCAAAATAGAGTAAGAAACATCTTAGCCAGACACGACCGAGCCGCTTGGTTTCAAGAATTCTCAAATATCTCCTAGATTAGCGACGCCTCAGAAGTCTGGACACACATCATGATAGGGTAATGACGTTCACATGTGAAGTGAATGACCCTCGTTTTTTTATCTTCCCGCCATCGCCCCTCTCCACCCTCCCCCCCCTTCCCTCCCTTCCCCTTTGCCAGCATATGACGTTCGTAAATATGAATTAGAATGGATATAACCCCACCACGAGTCCGTCACATTCTCGCACCATTCCCTGCTCTTTTGCCCTCTCTTCCCCCTTCTCTCCCCCTTCCCACTCCCTTGTGGTTCATCCCCAAGGGATTTCACCCACCTCAAGCTAACACTCTTTCACGCCATTCACTCCTCTTTTCCCTTCCCTGTCCCCCCTCTCCCCACTTCCTCCCCCCCTCCTCCCCACCTGCCACCCCAGCGTGATGACCTTCATGAAGATGAACTACAAGGGCTTTAACTCCACGGCATACCTCTTCGCCATGGCCATCACGGGCCTCATCCTCTCCGTCATCGGCGCGGCCGTCACGTTCCTCGGCCGCAACCCGGCCATGGCCGTCAACGCCATCCGCATCCAGCTCTACATCAGCTTCGTGAGTCAACACGAGTCATGCCACATTGAGGCGCGCTAGCAAAACGATATCAAGGAAAAGCCTCAAGCTTCGCAGCGGCTTCTTGAGCCTTCCTCTAGCTCGAGCCCAACTCTCCTTCTCAAGTCCCAACACTCTCAAGGCTGTTTGCTCCATCTCATCTCGCCATTCCCGTCCCTTTCCATTCCGTTTCTCGTCTCTCGGGTCTCAGCCCTTACAGGATCCACCTCCCCATCTATGGGCTTGTGCATTTTGAGGCGCCTCGAAAGTTGCCGTTTCTCGTCTCTCGGGTCTCAGCCCCTACAAGATCCACCTCCCCATCTACGGCTTGTGCATTGAGACCTCGTCACACCTCTGAGCCCGTTTCCCTCCGCATCTGCGCGCGCGCCCCCTCCGCTCCGCCCTTTCCCCCCCTGGTCTATGCTTGCCGGCAGATGATGCTGATGCTGCTCTTCGGCGCGGCTGCTACTGCCAGCAGCTTCCGAGTCAACGCCTGCTACAACGGCCTGGCCCTGCTCAACCTGCTGTGCGTCTCTCGCTCCTTCCACCCTTCTACTGCTAAGAGTCGGGCTCTGAGTTTTTTGCTTCCCCCGCTTTGTCACCCCTTCGCTTACTCCTTTTAGCGCCATGACAGTTACCCTTCCCCCCACCCGTCGCCCACCTCGTCATTTATGGCCCCAGAAATGATGTTGATGTCGATGTTTCCTTGCACGTCTCCTCTTCTCTCTTCCTTTCCGTTGCCCAATGTGGTTGTCCACTTTTCCGTTGATGCCTAAAACCCTTTCTCCCCATTCCCATTTCCCCAAGCTCTTCCCCCCTTCCTTCTCCCCCCATCCCCCAACCCACCCCTCTCTCCGCCACGAGTGTCTGATAACAGCAGCAATTTCCTCGCATTTTCCCTTCCTGCAACTTACTCCACCCTCTATCCCCTGAAATTTTACCCCACCCTTTTCTTACACCAGCGGCGATGACTGCACGCTGCTGGCATGGTCCGTGGCCATGGGGTACATGGCCTCCTTCACCTATATCGCCTCCTTCTGGTACGTCTCTTTGTCATCTTGTTGCCTCGTCCTCTTGTTGACTTCTGAGTTGACTCAAAAGTCTGCTGGCATGGTCGGTGGCCATGGGGTACATGGCCTCCTTCACCTACATTGCTTCCTTCTGGTACGTCTCTCTTGTCTACTGAGTCAACTCAAAACGAGGTCAAGCTGCTGGCATGGTCGGTGCCTGTGGGGTACATGGCCTCCTTCACCTACATTGCCTCTTTCTGGTACGTCCCCCTTGTCCTCTTTTCTAGACATCTCAGTAATCGATGCGCATGGTCGGTGGCCATGGGGTATATTGCCTCCTCCTGGTATGTCACTCTTGTCCTCTTGTTTAGCCTCTCTTGTTGGCTCATCCTCATGTATTGTTGGCTCGGTATTGTGATTGGCTGTCTCTGGGTCAAAGGCGTGTGCTTGACCTATGTTTCCTCCTGATACACCTTCGCGTCCTATTTTTCCCTCATCCTCACCTATTGCTGGGTCGTGTGTGTGATATGCTATCTTCGGGTCTAAGGTGTGCGCTACATAAGTAAGAAACCTCCCTCCCTGCCCGTCCATCCTTTCTTCAACCTTTCTCCCCGTCCTTTCTACAACCTCCCTGCCTGCCCTTCCCTTCCACCAACAGGCATTTCTTCTTTCTTCTTGCCAATGACCACTAGATAAATCAGCAGTGTGCTAGATGAAATGGCAAAACACTAGCGCCTTGGCGAGCAACAACACCAACTTTAGTACTGGACGCTTCATCTAGATTCTTTGACTTGACTCTGATCGTTGTTTGGTGTTTTTGCATCGTGATGCAGTAACTTGAGGAAGTATTATCACAAGCACTTATAGAGAAAGCAAAAGGCTATAAAGGGTTGTACCTAAACAATACATATGGTATGTTGCAAGGAGGAATGCCAAAAATAATAATTCAAAACCGAGTACAGCTGGCCACAATTGACGGTGAGGATTATGACGCCACAAGTAGGATCTCCCGCTCAGAATGCCAAACGTCGGTCATAACACGTCAGCAAGTTCCACCGAAATTCTGCAGTAATGACGTATGTGACAGCAGTGCGGGTCGCACAAATGACGCAAGTTCACCAAAAGTCAGTGTTGACGATGGATCACATCCCACGTCATAATGGCCCAGAATTTCCCGATTTACAGTATCTGCGATACGTGCAAGCGGATGTGGCTTACTGTAATTGGTTCAAGGCCTTCGGTCGCGGCTGGTTTCGGTTTTCTCGAGCTGAGCTGTGCAGCATGGTGCTTCGTCGTGACCGCAAGTTCTGGTGAAAAACCTCGTGGTTGCCATGCCGACATTCTTGCATTGCAATTCCCAACCTCCTCAATTCAACGTGCATTTCAACCTCCAATTTCACACGCAACCAGCTTCCTCGCGCCGACATTTCTGCCGCACCTTCTTCACCACCAGTCCTGTGCGCTCCTCACTTCTGATGCCATTTTGACAGCCAAGCGTCTTGCTCGCACAAGATTTGATAGAAAGCCCAGCCGTTTCGTCATTCTCTTCAAGAACCGAACAAGCGAATAAATCCTGTAATCGACATTCCACAGTTATACTCCACAGCTTCCGAACCCGCTTATTCACCGACAGGTAGTGTCTTCGGAACCAGCCGGTTCTGTTAGCAGTAACAACACAAGCCGTTCTATTTCTGTAGGCTGCTAGCTTACCCGTTTCGACACCCACGCGGCTTCTCTTTTTCCATTTACAACCATGTCGGCCGCAGCGCTTATTCTCCGGGGTTGTCAGTTCGTCTTCACCCTCATTTCTTTCAGGTGTGACCGTCTCGGCCGTTTCTTACTATGTCTACATGCAAACGATACGTTATGCCAGCTGAAAAAAGGTATATTCCACAGATCGCAAAAGAAATCTCGAGTCCGGCCGACGGAGAATATATGTTTTACAAGGCGACGCTACTGTAGGCTGCTGTTTTAATCGTTTTCCCACACGCTTCGCTTAAAAAACTGTTTCGGTCAGTCAGCCGGAAAGAGCGGGTCGTTGGCATGCCGGGGATCTGACTGACGGAAGCAACGACCCGCTCTTTCCGGCTGTGCCAATTATTATTTCTAGTGCAATGGCCTTTGCGAATCTGGCTACACTTTTTCCAAACAGTTGCATCACCTTGACTTGAAAAGTTTCCCTCTTTATCCATATGCCGCGCGCCGCGCCGCGGGCCCCATCCTCTCCCCTTCCCCCGTCCTTGCGGCGACCGTTCCCCTCCCTTCCCCCCTCGGTATTACAGTGGCGGCGGAGCAATCTGACGGCATGTTCCTGGCTGGCCACTCCCCTCCCCTTCCCTTCTCCCCACAGTATCCTAGCGGCGGTGGGCGGCAATTTGACGGCGTTCAGCACGGGCAGGTTCCTGCTGGCGGCGGGCATCATCGCGTTCATCTTCTCCTGTTCAGTCGCTCAAAAGTCATCCTCCCCCCCTCTCCATCCCCCCTCCACACACACAGCATCCTGGTAGCGGCGGACGGCAATTTGACGGCGTTCAGCACGGGCAGGTTCCTGCTGGCGGCGGTCATCAACGGGTTTATCTTCTCCCTTCTGAGGCACCTGGCAACAGTCACCCTTCCCATCATCCGCCACGCAGCATCCTAGTAGCAGCGGCGGACGGCAACCTGACGGCGTTCAGCAGTACGGGCCAGTTCCTGCTGGCGGCTCACCCTCCCTTCCTGGCGCTCCTCCTCTTCCTCCCCCAACCCCACCTCCTTCCCACACAGCATCCTGGCAGCGGCGGACGGCAACCTGACGGCGATCAGCACGGGCCAGTTCCTGCTGGCGGCTCACCTTCCTCTCTCTATCGCCGCTCCCCTTCCCACCGTTCCCCTTCCCTTCCCCCCCTTTCAGCATCCTAGCGGCGGCGGACGGCAATCTGACGGCGTTCAGCACGGGCCAGTTCCTGCTGGCGGCGGGCATCATCGCGTTCATCTTCTCGTTCATCGCCCTCGTCGCAGGCATCGCGGCCGTCGCCAGCAGCTCGCTGCGGGACAAGCAGTCGCGCATGTACCTCTACTTCGCCGTTGAGAGCTTCGTGAGTGCCTTAGAAGAATAATAGGTTCTTATTGAGGCGCCTCGAAAGCAGCTCGCTGAGGGACAAGCAGTCGCGCATGTACCTCTACTTCGCCGCTGAAAGCTTCGTGAGTACCTTCGGACGAAGCTTCTTGACTGCCTTGAGACAAGAGTTCACGCCTGCTTACGTCTGCTTACGTCTCCGTTCGTCTATTCGTGTCTTAATTCCATCGAAAAGTCATGCATACAAACCTCTGCACGCTCACACAACCTGCCCTCCCCATCCCCACGTCGCCAGCTCAACGTGTGTCTGCTCTTCGGTGCTGCCTGCACGGGCGCCAACGTGTTCGGCGAGTCTTGCGGCTTCTTAAGCAAGTGAGTGTGAAGTTAGTGTGGCTCTTCATGTGCTCTCTGCCCTGTCTGCCCTCTCTCCTCGAGTTTTTTCTCTCACCTTTCTCCGATCTTCGGGGCTGCCTGTGTGGGCTTAACGAGTCGCGCGGCTTCCTGCGCAAGTGAGTGCCATGCTTTCTGCCTTTTCCGGCCTTTTTTGCCCTTTCCGCCCTCCCCTTCCCGCCCCATCCGCTCTTCCCGCCCCATCTGCCCTTTCCGCCCTCTCTGCTCTTTCCGCCCTCTCTGCTCTTTCCGCCCTCTCTGCTCTTTCCGCCCTCTATGCTCTTTCCGCTCTATCTGCCCTTCCCGCCCTCTTTGCCCTCTCTGCCCTCTCACCAACTCTTCCATCTTCTCTCCCCACTCTAACCTACTACTCTTCCCTTTCCTCGCGCCTGCTGTCAAATGCAGCATCTACAACTCCTGTTAGCGACAAACACATGCACCTCTCCCCTTTCACTTCCTCCCCTCTCCCCTCTCACTTTCTCCTCTCTCCCCTCTCACTTTCTCCTCTCCCCCCTCTTAATTTCTCCCCTCTCCTTTCACTTTCTCACTTTCCAAATTCCACTTTCTCCCCTCTCCTCTCTTCCCTCTCACCTCCACTTTCTCCCCTCTCCTCTCTTCCCTCTCACCTCCACTTTCTCCCCTCTCCTCTCTTCCCTCTCACCTCCACTTTGTCCATTCTCCTCTCTTCCCTCTCACCGACTCTTCCCTCCCTGTTCCTATTCCTTTTCCTATCCCGCGCCCCAATCGCAGCACTTATGACACGTTCCTGCCAAATACCAACACGCGCACCCACCCCTCTCCTCTCTCACCTCTCACTTGTTTCTATAATCCCTTCTCCTTTTCACCCCCAATCAAAGTGCCTATGACGCGTTGGAGTCAAGGACCAACACATGCACCTACGCCAATACCTCGGCCGCCTTCGCATTCTTCGCCTCATTCGTTCCTTTGTTGCCCACTCACCCACTTGTTCCTCCACTCCCCCTCCTTGAATGCAGCGCCTATGACGCGTTCGAGTCAAGGACCAACACATGCACCTACGCCAAGACCTCCATCTCTCTTCCCCTCACCCGCCCGTTCCTCCCACTCTCTCCCGCTTCCCAACTTCAGCGCCTATGACGCGTTTGAGTCAAGGACCAACACGTGCACCTACGCCAAGACGTCAGTCGGCTTTGCATTCCTCGCCTCCTTCGCTTTCATGGGCACACACTGGTGAGTACGGGTGAACCTTATAGCAAATACGGTAAATATAGCTTGCACTCTGCATTTATGTAGCGCTCACTTTGTAGTGTGCATACGAGCACTTATTATGGGCACGTTATGGTAAAGTGCAGCAGGGGGGGAACGTCATGCTATCTATGGCCCGGTTTGGCAGGCATAAAAAAAACGGGCGAGGGGGTTGGGCTACAGTGATTCGACCACCTTGGAACCTTCCTTGATAAGCGCGTTAAAGGCTATCAAGGCTCGATATAAGCGGACTACGCCAAACCTGACAATAATGGAATGCCAACCAAACACCCCTTTTTTTCCAGGCGTTTTCAACCGCCGGAATCTACACCCAAACGAATTTCTCTGGCAAAGTGCCCATTTTCTGATCCCCCGCACCATGCGGCCTCGAGGCCACGCACTATGCGGGGTATCAGTGATTCGGGGCAATCAAAAGTGACTGGTCAAATATGCCAGCCAATCACATGATCACGCGAACCATCATGGCAACTGCTTACCATCTTCTGCAAAACCCGAAATTTCGATAGATGCCATCAATCTACACCCAAATAATGCCAACCAAACACTCAGCCCCGTTTTTCCGAATGTGCACTGCAGCTACAATCCGATTTCGATGCAGTTTCTCGAAATGCCCAGGCGGCATTTTTTGGGGGCCCGTTAGAAATGCCCATTGTGGCCATAATGGCCATGATGCCTGCCAAACAGGGCCTATATCCAGAAATGGAAACCGTGGGCATGCAACCTTGTTTCTCTCCTCTTCCCTTTCCTGTTCCGCGTCATAAACCATCTGGCCCTTTGCATTCCTCATCCGTGCTTGCTTGCTTGCTTGCAGGTACTATGTCTTTGCCATGAAACGGGGCTAATGAGAATGTTTTGTCTTGCTCTGGAAGAGTTGGGATTGCGTCCGTTTCCACCACAGAGGGGGGTAAACGACGGGGGTTATTGGGACCTAGCCTAGTGCATGCTAGAGTGGATTGGATATCCAACACACTGTTCATGCTGCTTGTACAGTCGGTGCTCATTTCAAGAACACCAGGTAGGCGGGCGGCATGTGAGTGAAACGTGTTTCATGCATTTCGCCAGATTCGCCCTTGTCGCCACGGGCAAAAATGTGACTGTAATATGAAATTGCAATGTGAATCGAGACACGGGCTTTAATTTCGTAACCAGGTAAACTTTTCTGATGACGGGCAACCGTTGTTGTTAATGAACTGTAGATGTTTTTCTTCCGCAAGTTGGTGACTATACCCCGAAATCGGCAGAATTGTCAATTTAGTCACGCACGGGCAAAACGTTCGCGAGTGACTAAATTTCTAATTGTGAGGAGCAATTTTTTTGTGATAGGCTGAGCATCGACTGTACAGAGTGGACCATAAGGAAGTGACTTTTGAGTCTGACTCAGAAGTCATTTACGGTACTTGTACAGAGTTGACCGTAGGGTACAGCCAACCAGCTGTTCATTTGGCAGCTTGCTGTCAGATGTAACGTGCTCTGGGTTTGTTTCTGTTACGGTATTCAAAGGAAAACTATGGAGTCGAGTTGACCTTGTGGCACAGTGAATGCTGGGAAGAGTTCGCGCAGGATGGACTGTTAGCAGCATTTTATTTCAGTTTCACAACTCTAGCACATCAATGTTTGCATGACAAGGTTTGACTAAAATCGTGGAAGAAGATAGAAGCCAAAAATAAACTAACGTGAGTTTTCCGGAAACTACCATATATGGATCAGGAAGCTATTGACAGCTTGATAAATACCAGTGTCACGTTAATTTCCCCCCACAAGCTTTACCGCCTGTAATAGGACGCGAGTGCGTAGTACCTGCAGAAACAAAACGTTTGGCATGGGTACAGATGGGTGACAGAATATCAAGGCCAGGGAATCAGGGGTGACGTTGTGAAGGCAGTCAATGGGAGCAAGGGAATAGAGGGAGACGTTGGGAGAGAGAGCGAGAGCGAGAGAGAGACAGAGGGAGAGAGGAGGAGGGGGGGGGGGGGAGAGAGATTGAGAGAGAGAGAGAGAGAGAGAGAGAGAGAGAGAGAGAGAGAGAGAGAGAGAGAGGAGAGAGAGAGAGAGGGGGAGGGGGGGGGGAGGGAGAAGAGGAGGAGAGGGAGGAAGGGGGGGAGGTGAGAGAAACAGTCTCATACCAGAATCCTAAAATGTAGGAAAAGGAGGCAACGAAGGCCATGTAAAACGATCCCTTGACCAGCTCGCAGTCTTGGTCAACGGAATAGCCGCTGGTCAACAACGGATTGGGGGGGGGGGTGGTATAGGTGCACATAATAAGCATTCATTTCGGTTTGGTTGCCGATTGTCTATCAAGTTGTTTGACATACGTGGGAAGTGTTTTCCGCTAACGACTTGCTTGCTGGTAACAAAGTCAGGTGTGATGAATAGAGCGAACTGTAGCACGAGTTCCGTTGGCAAAGGAAAGAAAACAAAATAGTAATTATACTTTGTTTGTGACAGCGGAGCACGCACTAGTAAGAGTAGTGGCGAAAGTAGCTGCAGTTCGACGCCGTCACATCCACTGCGCACGTGCACGCCGCTGCGAAAAGGAGCAGCGAAAGCAGCTGCGAGGAAGCAACGAAGGAGGACGGGAAGACGGGACCGACGGGTTGGTGGGTGGGAGGCAGGGAGGAGGGAGGAGGGAGGGAGGGAGGGAGGGAGGGAGGGAGGGAGGGAGGGAGGTAGGGAGGGAGGGAGAAAGGAGGGGGGGAGGGGGGGAGGGAGGGAGGGAGGGAGGGAGGGAGGGAGGTAGGGAGGGAGGGAGAAAGGAGGGGGGGAGGGAGGGAGGGAGGAAGAGGGAGGAAGAGGATTTTTCAATAGCGTGCGACGGGACTCACCCAGCCCTCGACGACTTGGAAGAGGCGCAGCTTTCCCTGGAAGCGGCGGAGCGCGGAGATGAAGAGCGACGCGACGAGAATCACGAGGAGGAGGAGGGAGAGAATGAAGCCGATGACGGTCGTGGCGAGCAGGAACGCGCCCGCGTAGTGGTCGTTATAGCCCCATATCTCGCCGATCGAGACGAGCAGGCTGAGAGCAACAGGGGGAAGGGAAGAGGAGAAAGGAAGAGGAAAGGAAGGGGGAAAAGAGGGGGGAGGGGGCGAGGGTGAACCGGATGAGGTGGAGGGGTCGCTACGAGCAGAATGGTGGATACTCGAACTGATGTTTGGTGTGGTTGGGCTTCTTCTTCTATTTTAAAACATTTATAAACATTGTGATAATCGTAAGGTGGCATTTGCTTAATGGGAACGAGTCGTCGTCACCGCAAGGACTCACACGAAGGAGGCTATGCAGGAGGCAAGCTCGACGACGCGCAGCCCGATGCCGATAAACGTTGACATCCTTGACGACCCACCCGACTCGGGTTCCCCGCCAGTCGCGGCGGGTGGCTTCCCCGCGCCGCCCGCCTCAACGTCCGAGTAGCCCGCAGGCGGAGGAGGATTTGCGCCTGCCGGTTGATAACTTGGCGGCGGCGCGTAGTTTGTCTCCCGCGGATTACCCGCGACTCGGCTCGGCGGCTCGGCCATCGTGTTTGGCGGCTAGCGTGGGAGCGAATCTTTTTAGATAGGAGGCTAAAATGGAGTGTATGCGACGTCGAAGTGAGATATACTTGAGCGGCGCTGGGTCCGTTGAATAAATCACCTCTGCAAGAGAAATAATATACTTTCTTGGCTGAGTATCTCCGTTGTGGTTATGCTGAGCGGACAGACCCTTGTATGCTCGTCAGGGGGCTTTGTAGGATGAATGTGGCGGTGGGGTGTTGGGTGTGAAATTTTATGTCGGTGTGGTGTGGTTTGATGGTTTGGATTTGGCTCTTGCGGCAGTGGTGAGCACCGAAAGTGCCACGCAGGATGAGGGCGACCCGAATGGATGTGGGGCGAAGTGCCGTGCTTTGCTGTGCGAAGGGAGCGCCCAACGAGGCAATCGGGTGGGAAGGGGGCGAATTGCGCGTGCTGAGGGAATTCAGCATTTTCCATCGAGTCAACAAGGTAAGGATACGGAGTAAGAAAGTGTACTGTACTAGTTATCCATTTTGACTGGAAATATGCATTTGGATATATCTGGGGGAAAATGCTGAAAGATACTCCTGGCACAAAGTATTTTGCTGGAAATGGTACAAGCACACACACACACAGGAAGAACGTGATGAACAGGCTATGAAAATCAGATCCCGGGAAATCAGCGTAAGTTTATTAGCTATAAAACCTCTTATTAGCGTATGTGGCCCTGCTGCAAATCATTAGCAGCCTCCTCCACGTTATGTCATTGTATATTACACTTTGAAAAGAGTTCCCAGAGCATTCATTTTAGTGTAGCTTCAAAATTACTATTGCACATCAATGTTAGCATTTTGATAAAAAGGCACTAGATGGTACGTAAGCTTCGGGAGAGCCTTCTTGAACCTATACAGATCAGGCAGCTATTGACTGCTCATAAATAGTGCCCCGTTCTTCTGCCGAATGCTTTATCGCCTGCGGTATGAGATGAGTGCGTAGTACCTGCGGAAGCAACACGTTTGGCAGAGGAGATGGGTGACATGACAAGGCATTAACAACATGACAAGGTACTAAGTGCAGGACACCACGAGTGACATTGTCAAGGCAGTCAATGGGAGCAAGAGGGTGGGGATGAAGGTGAATGTGAATGGAAGGAGAAAGCCAAAGAGCGAGACAACGGGGGAGAAAGGGGAGAAGGCAGTGAGGGAGGGAGGAAGAGGGAGGGAGGAAGAGGGAGGGTGGGAGGGAGAGAGAGAGGGAGAGGGAGAGAGGGAGAGGGAGAGAAAGAGAGGGAGAGAAAGAGAGGGAGAGAGAGAGGGGGGAGAGAGAGAGGGAGAGAGAGAGGGAGAGAGAGAGGGAGAGAGAGAGGGAGAGAGAGAGGGAGAGAGAGAGGGAGAGAGAGAGAGAGAGAGAGAGAGAGAGAGAGAGAGAGAGAGAGAGAGAGAGAGAGAGAGAGAGAGAGAGAGAGAGAGAGAGAGAGAGAGAGAGAGCATACCAGAGTCCGCCAATGTAGGCAAAGGAGGCAAGGAAGGCCATGGCCACGGATCCCTTGACCAGCCCGCAGTCATTGTTGCCAGGACTGCAGCATATCAAGAATAGAGGGGTGGGGAGGGGGGGAAAGAGGGGAGAGAGAGAATTTTCAATAAACTCAAGAGGGAAAGGAGGTGAGGAAGGCCATGGCGACTGAAGTAGTTGAAAAACACGCAAAACACCGGAAACACGCACACGTAATAGCCGAAGTAGTTGCCTCCCAACGAGTTGACGAAGCTAGAAGCCTGCACGCCCGCCGTGGTTTTGAGGCGCCGCAAAAGACGAATCAAAGCTTTCTTTGCAACAGCGAAAGACTCACATGTGGACGCCGAAGTAGGTGCCTCCCTCCGTGTTGACACAGCCGCCGCCCGCCGTGCACGCGACGACTTTTGAGTCGACTCACAAATCACCTAAAAACACACGATCTTTGCAACAGCGAAGGACTCACATGTGGACGCCCCAGTAGGTACCTCCCTCCGTGTTGACACAGCCCGACGCCTGCGCGCCCGCCGTGCACGCCGCCGCGAAGAGGAGCAGCGAGAGCAGCTGGCGAGGGAGCAACGCGGTCCGAGAGGGGGACGGACGGATTGATGCAGAGGGGAAGGGAGGGAGGGAGAGAGAGGGAGAGGGGGAAAAGGAGAGAAGGAGGAAGGAAGAGTGAGCGAAAATGGAACCTCGGCCGAGAAAAGAGAGAAGGATGAACAGCGAGGGCGGGCACTGACTAGATTTGAGTTGCTTCTGGGCATATGAGGTAACATGCAACATTCCGCGACTTGGAAGAGGCGCGGCTTGCCCTGAAAGGGGCGGAGCGCGCTGAATGAATCCGAGTCGCATGCCATGTGGGGCAAGGCGTGGAGGGCTGTGCCTTTTTTTTTACGAACCGCGCGATTGACTCACCCAGTTCTCGACGACTTGGAAGAGGCGCAGCTTGACCTGGAAGGGGCGGAGCGCGGAGACGAAGAGCGACGCGACGAGAATCACGAGGAGGAAGAAGGAGAGAATGAAGCCGATGATGGTCATGGCGAGCAGAAACGCGCCCGAACTGAGCTTCGTGTAGTCGTACTTGGTGGACACGAGCAGGCTGCGAGCAACAAGGGCGGAGGGAAAGGGAGGAAGTGGGGGAGAAAGAGAGAGAGAGAGAGGCTTGAGCGGCCAAGGATGTAACGCAGTGGTCGCCGCGAGAGCAGAAACGCGCCCGCGCTGAGCTTCGTGTACTCGTACATGGTCGACACGAGCAGGCTGCGAGCAAAACGTTGAAGGAAAAGGAGGGGGTCGAAAGCGAGGGCGAACCGGAGGAAGGCAAAGCGTCGTTGCGAGGGTGTTATGGTAGTACTTTTGAGTCGACTCAAATGCTACCCCGTAAGTCAGCGTCCCTTTAAAGGACTTACGAGAACGATATCATGCAGAAGAGCAGCTCGGCGATTCGCAGGCCGATGCCGATGAACGTCGACATCCTCGACGCCCCACCCGAGCCGCCGCCAGTCGCGGCGGGCGGTTTTCCCGCGCCGCCGCCCGCCTCGACGTCCACGTAGCCCGCAGGCGGAGGAGCGTTTGCGCCCGTCGGTGGGTAGGCTGGCGGCGGCGCGTAGTCAGTCGGCGGCGGACCGCCGGCATACGGCGGGTTGCTTTCAGGAGGAGGGTACTCGGCGGCCATGGTGTTGGCGGCTAGCTGTGGGAGTGGGAAAGGAGGCGGAGAGGGAGTTGCACGCGCTGACACGTGAGAGTAACTGGAATAGCGCTGGGTGTTGGCTAAATTACCTCTACTTGCTATATTTCACTTTCTTGATTTTGGCAACCAAGCTGCGCTTTTTATGCTTGTCGAGGGAAGGGAGGGAGCTGAGCGGGATGGCGTGCTGGTGCGGTGGGATGCGGTGCGACGGTGTGAGCTTGGCTGTTACAACGATGATTTGGTTTCGAAGAGAGGAGGTTGGCGCGCAGCTAAGGAGGCGGCCGAGAAAGGCTGGGCGAGGTAAGTGCTGAAATTGGCGAAAATTGCGGCAAAGGTATTGCCTGGCGAGGCGATGGGAAGGGGGCGAATTGCGTGTGCTGTGGGGTCCTCTCCAGCCTCCAGCCAACATCAACCCGAACCGCTTCTGTGAGCCACATTCGTGCGCTCTGTGCGGAGGTTCGGCGGTGCGTGAGCTCTTAGGCTGGCGGACGTGGCTTGTATTGCGGCCGAGCCGTAATCTGGCCCATGAGTGGCTGATGAGAACGGGGCTCGAGGCTCGTTCCGCAGCTGTCTGGTTCGCCAACAAAACCTCCAGTTATTTTTACCACAGGTTCGGACAAGCTGGCCAATGGAGTTGCAAACTGGACAGTGCGGAAACAAACAGTGAATCAGAAAGAATCCAGGTTTCTGCTTACAATAGGCCGTTTTCGCTTGACGCAGCAGCCACACCTGCCTGCCTTGTCAAAATGGGTGGGTTTGATGTGTCAAGGGACGGGAATATCTCCGAATGGATCCGACGGACAAAATGCATTGGACGACGAAAATCCGACGGTAATTCAAAACCCTTGCGTGGGCAATATTCGCGTTTTACAGAATTGTGAAACATGTTCCTGTAACGACCTGATATCACAACATCACTTAGGGGCGCTAACAAATATACGCGTGTTTGAGAAGTCATGGAGCAAAGGATTGAAGCCATCTTTGGTGTACGTATTTGCAGCAATAGTTGACAGAAACTCCGCAGACGGGATCTGAGGCAGATTTGAGAGAAACAACGAACGGGCGAACAAATATGTTGATAAGAACAGGCCAGGCAGACTCGCATGAATGAAACATGTATGCAAGACTACCTTATATGAGGGTGCATCTACGAGGGCGAGGGGAATATCGGGGGTGAGAAACTTTTTGATGGCATTGATGTGACCAGCTCCTGTTTAATTACGTATTGTGCGACAACATAGGATCAAATCCCTTACTGATCCGCGAACCCGCTCCACTGAGGTTGGGGCAGAAGCAGCAGCATCAAGTCTTTCAAGCAGCCCGAAATCCGTCGGAAAGAAAATGTCTGCCGAGCCCTGTGATAGGCATGGGGGCGTCAGTGCGAAGGAATGGAAGAAAGTTATTTTTTGCGCCTAGAAAATGTCTGCCGAGCCGAGCACTGCTAGATGCATGGGGGCGTTGATGCAAGGAATAGTAGAAGAGTTTAACTGAACCAAGGGCAAACAAGCTGCTAAGAAATCAGTAAATCAAAACGGAGCACGCCGTGAAAGGAGGTATTGAGCAAAAGCGACTGTAACAATCACAGGGTGTACTGGTGCTTACACGAGGGACGAGGTATGTGGGTTGGTCTTGAGTGATGCCTCCACCCTGGTGTTGTTGGCATGTGGGGCAAGGAAGCATGGAAGCATGGGGGCATGGAAGCATGGGGGCATGGAAGCATGGGGGCATGGAAGCATGGGGGCATGGAAGCATGGGGGCATGGAGGCATGGAGGCATGGAAGCATGGGGGCATGGAGGCATGGAGGCATGGAAGCATGGAAGCATGGGGGCATGGAGGCACGTGAGCACGCGAGACTGCAGAGCGCGGGGAGCAATTGGAAACAACAATGAGTGACAACTCGGAAAACACAAATGTAGGCAACGAGTGAAAAGAACTTCCAACAGCTGGCAGCAGGCACACGGAAAGCACAGTCGCAGCACATGCAAGGGCACCGTTCTGCTCCAAACCCCATCGCTCTGCCCCATCCCCACCTTTCCCACCATAGACTCACCTTGGCGGCCACGAGGGGCGTGTTGGCCCCTGGGATTTGCACGTCCGGGAGCAGAGAGAAGTCGGCAGCAGTCACAGTGGCATGGGTGAGCTGGCTCAGATTTCACACCCCACCACACCGAGTCAAACCCCCACCATACTACCCCAAACCCAACCTTGGCGGCCACGAGGGGCGCGTTGGTGCCTGGGATTCGCACGTCCGGGAGCAGAGGGAAGTCCGCAGCGATGACCGTGGCGTTGAAGAGTTGGCACACCCCACCATACCACCTGAAACCCCACTGCACCGCCCCAACCCAACAGCCTCACCTTGGCCGCAACCAGGGGCGCGTTGGCGCCTGGGATTCGCACGTCAGGGAGCAGAGAGAAGTCCGCAGCGATGACCGTGGCGTGGGGGCGGGCCGTGTATATGGCCTCTAGCAGATGCTGGGTGGGAGGATGGGAGAGGGGGAAGGAGTGGGGGACGAGGTGGGGAAGAGGTGGGATACGAGGCAGGGCGAAGAGCAGAGAGAAATCAGCAGCGATGACTGTATTGCTTCTCCCTTCCCTTCCCTGTAGCGCCCCCTTGCCCCTAACGCCCGGATCCCTTCCCTGTCATCCATCCCCTAGCAGCACAGCACAGCACAGCACAGCACAGCACAGCACAGCACAGCACTCACCAGGCAGCCCGTGGGCAGCCAGATAACCCTCTCTCCTCCGCCCACCACCGACGCCAGCAGTCCTTGCAGCGACGCAGATAGGCGTGCCAACATGCCGCCGCCGCCGCCGCCGCTGCTGGTGCTGGTGATGCTGTTGCTGCTGCTGCTAGCAGTGGCAGATGTTGGACTCTTGTTCTGCAGCGATAACGATGGGAAGTATTCGGATGAAATGAGGAGGATTGAAAAGCAAGTGGGTTATTTTGAAGCACCTATGTTATGTTTTCAGTATTTATTTGCGGATTATCATGGAAAGGATGGCAGGAGGCGCTTTAAAATGGATAATGGTATAGAGTATTTTTGAGAATTCTCAAAAATACTCTGCTTTAAAATGGATAATGGCATTTCTATGATACTCTTCTCTTCAGGGCCTCTGCAAGCTATAAACGGATCTAGACTTTTGAGCTGACACTCAGCGAACCCCCCAGTGCAATGCATCTCAGTGGCCAGTCGGTGCATCATTCCCAGCACAATTTGAAGTGAAATTTTGAGGGCAGCTTCCAGTGCAAATCACATTTCCAGTGCAAATCACATTTCCAGTGCATTTTGATGATAAAAAACACGAAATAGTTCAAAAACACGAATACGAAATCGTTGTATATTAACGGGACGACCTCGGTCAGTAAATAAGTTATTTCGTGTATCTCGAATAGTCTTTCGAGAGTTGGCCTCTCAAGGTAAGCTCCTAGGTATCTCTAAAGCGAGCTGGTAATCAAGTCTTAAATTTCTACGAAACCTTCACTTGGAAAGCAAGCTCGCACCAAAGGCGCATCGCTTGCTTTTTTTGCTTTGCAAACAGTCTGGTCCTTCTCTGTGAAACCGTTAGGCTCTTTCTTGCTTTCGCTTACCGAGAGCTTGCTTCGCAAGCTTATCCTTACGTGCTTCGCTTATGTTTACGTGGCAAGCTTTGCTTGCTCGCTCTGACAAAGCATTTCATTTAGGAGACCTTAACGGGCGTAAGCGTCGCCTCCGGTGCAACCAACGAGCGCAAGCTGTGAAACGAACGAGCAAGGCAGTGCAATTTCTGGTGCGAATTCCAGCCTCACCAATACTGCAGCAAGGCATCGGCAAATGAGCGGATCGCTGATGCGTCGAAGCACCTCGTACGGCCTCCCTGCACCCTCCCTTCCCTCTAAATGCCTCCTCCCTGCCTCCTCCACCTGTCCACCATGCCTCTTCCCTGCCCTTTCCTTCTCCTCCGCTTCCCCCTCCCTTCCCGCATGCTTCACTCGTGTTTCCATCCATTCGCTGCTCTCCCTGCTCCACTGCACCCTGTCGTGTGGTAGGTTGTCCAACACCTGAGGGCACCCGGCAGGGGGGAGAGGGCAGGGTGAATGGGCAATGGATTGGAGGTGCATGGGAGGTGCATGGGAGGTGCATGGGAGGTGCATGGGCAAATGAGTGAGAAGAGGCAACGAAAATAGTGTCTCTCCACTCGCTGCCCTCCCTGCTCCACTGAACCCTGTCGTGCAGCAGATTGTCCAGCACCTGAGAGCGCAGGGAGGAGGAGAGAAAGGGCGGATGCGATATGGATGGGAGGTGCATGGGAGGCAGATGAGGGAGAAGTGACAACAAGCTTCCAAATTCATTGTTCCCAAGCTTCCAAATTCCAAATTCCCAAGCTCTCCTGAGAGTCCGTGTTCATTGTTCCTAGGGGGCGCCTCAAGAGCGGACTTCTGGGATCTCCTGAAAATCCTCAACGTGCGTTTCCCTCTCATGCTGTGATTGTGCAGTGCTCTCCGTGTTATCTATCGAGTGATTGGAGGGAGGGAGGCTGCTGCTGCTCACCTCGAATAAGAGAATGAAGCATGGATCGTTGGATGGCGCACCTGCGACACACATGGCATGATGGTGGCATGATGACGACATGGTGACGTCATGATGAGATGGTGACGTCATGATGGCATGGTGACGTCATGATGGCATGGTGACGTCATGATGGCATGGTGACGTTGTGATGACATGGTGACGTCATGATGACATGGTGACGTCATGATGAGACAAACGATGAATCAGCACGAAGATGATGATGATGATGATGATGATGATGATGATGATGATGATGATGATGATGATGATGATGATGATGATGATGATGATGAGTTGAGCTAACACAATACAGAACACAAGCGTGCATGACCCACGGATCCGTCAGTCCATCCATCCCCTCCCCACTTCCCTCCTCCCCCACCTTATCCCAAACACACTGCACCGCTTGGTGCGAGCAGTGCCAAACACATGCACCAATGCACCCACCCCACTCACACCCCTCCCTTCCCTGTCTCCCATCTCCTCACCCACCCGTCCCTCACTCCCCCGATACACACCCCCCTCCTCCCGTCCTCCCACTTCAAAATATCCACACACGCACAGCCACACGCACCCCAGACGCAAGATGGAGGAAAACTTCCCCCATCAGCCGCATCAAACACCAGACGCTTCACCAGGCCACAGAATGCACCGACTCATGTGAGGAGCAATGCGAAGCACCATCCGAACCATCACCAGAAGCATCCCTAGCGGCACCCCTCGCTCCCCATCCTCTTCCCCCATCTTACCACCCCCGCACCCCCCCGCCCCACTCACCCCGCACATGCACTCCACTCCACCACTCACCCCGCACATGCACTCCACTCCACCACTCACCCCAGCCGCGCACATCAGCAGCATCAAACACCGCCACGGAGTGCACCGACTCATGCGAGGGGGAGCACCGAGCAGCACCATTCAAAGCAGCACGAGAGGCAGAGCTGTCCCGTGCGCCCTTGGCCCCTCGCCGTGCCCTGCCAACACTTAAGGCGGCTCCATCTTGACTGCCAGAATCTGGGGCGGCTGTGGCAGCGGAAAGAGGAGTGGCAGGTGTGGCAGGTGTGGCAGGTGTAGATGCTGAGACAGCTGAAGTATGTGTGGCAGTTGAAGCAGTTGAATCACCCGCATTGCCATGCTTCAACGCATAGCCAGTGATTCTCTCTCTTTGCCTTCGGGCGAGAGCTGGGCTGATTTCCACCGAGCTGAGAGAAGGGAGAGGGGAGAGGGGAGAGGGGAGAGGGGAGAGGGGAGAGGAAAGAAGAGGGGAAAAGAGGAGCTTTGGCAAAACAACCAGCAAGCAAAGGCATACTCACTCGCTCTCTCTCTCACTCACTTACTCACTCACGTGTATCGGCAGCGCCTGTACAGGCGATACAGAAGGCTCCTGCTCAGATTCAGCAGGAGCCTTCGCCTGCAGGCGGTCGAGAATGTTGCGTGCCAGCGTGCCTCCGCCCACCTCGTACATCACTCACTCACTCACTCGCTCACTCACTCACTCGCTCACTCACTTCCTTCCTCGCTCTATTCCTCACTCGTTTGCTCACTCACTCCCTCACTCACTTTTTCACTCACTCTCTCTCTCTCTCTCACTCTCCTCCACTCACTCACGTGTATCGGCAGTGCCTGTACACAGCAGGAGCCTTCGCCTGCAGGCGGTCGAGAATGTTGCGAGCCAGCGTGCCTCCGCCCCCTCCCACCTCATACATCTACTGTTGGGGGGTTGGGAGGTTGAGGGAGGTTGGGAGAGGTTGAGAGGTGGGAGGAGTGGTGGGAGGAGCGGTGATAGGCATGATGGCATGCACACAGGTATGTAGGTGTCAGCTCACCTTAAGAGGCTTGGTGGGAGAGTGGGAGGAGAGAATAAAGTCTGCGACAGCATAGCCGTACCATGGCTGGTGGTGGGGGTGGGGGTGGGGGAGATGGGGAGAGGGATGCAGCACGGATGAAAACACACACACAGCGGATACGGGGAATGCACGTGGTTGAAAAAGATGAAGGAAAACGGAAACAGATACCCCTGCATTTGCACCTGAATCATCCATCCCTGGGTTTTCACCTGAAACAGCTCCGAGGGAGTGAACCAGGAGGTATCAGCAGAGGCGTAGAGCGACTGCTGCAGCGCCATCCACTCCCGTCGCCCCGCCAGCTGGCGGAAGCTGATTGGGTGCGGGATTGAACCCACAGCAGCAGCGTTGGATGTGAAATAGCCGTCCGTGGGATGATAGAGGCTGGTGTGGATGAAATCGCGTACCTGAGGGGGAAAGGAAGGGAAGGTGGGGGGAAGGGAAGGTGGGGGGAGTGGAAGGTGTGGGGGGGAAGTTGGGGGAATGGGTAGAGAGAGAGGGGGTGAAATGACCGTCCGTGGGATGGTAGAGGCTGGTGTGGATGAAATCGCGCACCTGAGGGGGAGGGAGGGGCAGGGGGACGGGGGGAACGGGGGAAAAGGAGGGACGGGTTCAGAGAGGACAAATAACCGGCTGTGGGACGGTAGAGACTGGTATGGATGAAATCGCGCACCTAAATGAGGGGAGGGGGGAAGGCGGAGGGTGGAAGGTTTCTGGAGGTTCCTGGGAGAATGGGAGAAAGAGGAGGTGAGATAGTCGTTTCTGGGATGGTAGAGACTGGTGTGGATGAAATTGTGCACCTGAATGGGGGGAATCGGGAAGGCAAGGCGGAGGGTGGAAGGAAGGAGTGGGGGGGAAGTTGGGGGATATGGGTGGAGAAAGAGGCGGTGAAATAGCCGTCTGTGGGGTGATAGAGGCTGGTGTGTATGAAGTCCCGAACCTGAGGGAAGGGATGGGTTGGAGGGGAGGGAAGGGGGAAGAGGGGAAAGGGAAAGGGAAGGTGGTTTTGTGGGAAGGGAGAAATCACAATCACATGCACCATTGTCACATCCTCCAATATAAAATGCTCCACTGTCGAAAATGCCGCTCCTTACAAGCACTCCGTCTGTCTCGTCTCTGCCAATCGCGGCAGCCGCTGTTCGAGCCGTCGACCCATCCTTCGGCTCCCCGCCAATCGCGCTGGCACCATCACCCCTGTCTCGCGTCGCTCCCTGACCTCCGTCAAATCCGGTTCCGTCAACTCCGGATGCGAAACGGCGATATCGGTCGTGGACGGGCGTGACAATTCTGGTCCGGCTGATGCGCTGCGGAATAAGCCATGCGGAACCGATATTCCGACTCGAGGCAATACAACTACTAGGGTGAGTCGAGATTGCGAGCTCGATCGACGACTTCCACGCAGACGAATCGCGGAAGAGAAGGGTCGAAGCAGCGCGGCTCCACGCCGAGCGAAGACGGACTCGCGACATGGTTCGGCCGCAACGGGACCTGCGGCACCATGCACTAAAAACGAGAATCTTGGCTTGTGGGCATTCACAATGAAAATGGTACAGACAGTTTTGGCGAGAAACAAATATAAATGGTTACATTTTACATAACAAGCAGTACAGTACACCAAAGCTCCACTAGCATGTTGCATAATTTGGGAAATTGAATTGTCAGACCACGTTACGCGGTGACCCCACCACAAGAGCACAGCGCAGGCCATAGGGATGGTTTTCCTTCCCACTTGCTTCCCTTGTCGCTTTTTCTCAGAAGCCTCAATTGACCTGTCGCACCGCACCGCTCTTCTCTAGGTGCACTGTTCACCCGTGTCCTCAGTCTCTCCGCTCTCAAAGTCACGTCCTTGGCGCTCTACTCCACCATCCACGGGTGTGTCTCGGCATCTCTCCTCGCCAACCTTAGCCGCGTTTCACCGTTTTCAGCATTTCCGCGCCTCTCTCCGCCTCTCGTCCCTCATGGCAATCGAATTTTCCGGCCCAAGTCTATCCTCCTTTCTCCCACATTTCCGCTGCGTCCTGTCCTGTCACCCCCGACCCGATTCTCCCGCTTCACCCTAGCTTCGAAGCAGTAGAGACATTTTAGAACTACAACTACCATCCCAGCCTGTGTGATTGCCTAATAGCCTTCTCAAACCTTACGACGGTATGCATTAACGCGAAGTATTGCTGCAATGTTCACTAATTATTGAAACAACATAACCTTCTCGCGGCGCCAATCTTCCTTGGTGTAATCGCATCTGGCTGTTCGTCTGTATTTGGCCGCTCGCCATCATGTCCGACGGCGGCAGATTCGATGCCAGTAATAGCAGTGCAGGTAGATCGACGATCGCTAGTATTGGAGACGAACGGACGGCTGAGATAGTAAGCGCCTCCGGTCGCCGCCAACGGCCCCCCGCGCGCGGCGGTCTTTCCATCGACTTGGAAGAATCGACTCGAGGCCGGCAAACGGCGGCGTCTGGTCGACGCGCGCTCTCCATCGACATCGACTCCGCGGAGAAACCCTCGGCGGCCGGCGGCGGAAGAGGCGGAAGTGGGGACGACGGTGCAGATGACGCCGCATTCGGCGCTCCCATGCCGAAGACGCCATCGGAGCGCGTACGCGCCATAATCATGCAGGCCGCCTCGAAACGGCAAGACGCGGTGAAGGCGGAATCGATCGGGAAGCAGCGCGCCGCGGAGCTCCACGCGAAGCGGCAGCGCAGCCGGCGGGGCCTCGGAGGCAGCCGACGCGCTGGCAACAACGCTAGTAATAACAGTGCTCCCGAGTCTGATCGCGACGCGGCGTCGTCTGATGCGCTTCCACGGGAGAACGACGCAGCGAGTACGGGAATCGGCGGCGGCGGCGGTTGCGGTAGAGGCGGCGGCGAGGATTTCGATTCCTTCGTCGATAGCGGATACGGAGACTTTGTCGCGGTGCGGGATGATTATTCGGACTACCAAGGAAGCGAGAGCGGGTCGCAAAACGACGAGATACACGGCGGGATTAACGGCGGCTTTCACGGCGTGTCAATTAGTCCGCTCAGGGCGGGGCCTATGGGTCCGCGGTTCGGCGGAACGAGCCCCGGCAGCCCCGCGAATTCGGAGAGCCATCTGTTTCGTCGCGGTCCGAAGGGCTATAGCGACGCGGGAACGCCGAGGAGCGACGACGGCCGAAGCGCGGCCGGCGGAGACGTGGTAGATGATAATTTCGGCGAAACCGGGGAGGGTGGTGTAGGAGAATTTTACGGGCAGCGGAAAGTTGGAAACGGGTATATTCAAATGAATGCGGCGGGGACGGTCGCGTCGGGCTTCACACTGCTGGATATGGGGGGTAAACGAGAGCAATATGGCGGATACCGACGGGTACGTATATTATATAATGCCATGCTTGTGGCGCACACGTGCGCGTGTGTCGAGCACGTGAATGCACACACAGGCACGCTCGAACTGATGAGGACGTATACATAGTATACGTTACCACATGCATAAGCTGATGGGTAAGTTTATGCATAAGTGGCTCACGTGCAAGCGCGCTCGCGCGCACACATGTTCGCACTCACGCATACACGCTCAGACGCGCGCGCGCGCGCACACACACACACACACACACACACACACACACACACACACACACACACACACACACACACACACACACACACACACACACAGAGGAACTCACGAACACACACACACGAACATACACGTACCGAATCACAAAACCCGTATTGTTATGCATGTCCGTACGTCTTCTTCTCCTCAAGAATCGTCGCTGCTTTTCAATCTCACGTGAGTGCTTTAAGCTGTAATAAGAAACTCCATGTCATTCCAACGCAATCCCAACAAATGTCGCGTATGTAACCCGTTCAGTCCCCATCCCCACCCCTACCCCCGTCCCTATCCCCGTCCCCATCCCCATCCCCAACCCCATCCCCATCCCCCCTGTTGAGACGTCGCAAAAGTCCGTCTGTCCCATAAACGCACATTCCATCCATTCCATTCGCACGTCCATGCGCCAATGATGCTGCAGGGTGTTTTTGAGAACAAAAACACCCTATTCCATCCATTCCATTCTCTCGTCCATGCGCCAATACTGTCTTCTGTGGCAACGGAGGCGCCTCAAAAATGAACACAGTGGGTCGTTCTTTCCTGTGAATTCACAAGAAACGCACAATCCATCCTCCCCATTCTCACCTCCATGCGCCAATACTAGCTTCGGAGGCGCCTTACATGAGGCCTCCCCACCCCATCCCTCCTGTTGAGACATATCAAAAGTCGTTCTGTCTCATAAGTACACAAGAAACGCACAACCCATCCATCCCATTCTCACCTCCATGCGCCAGTACTGCGCCAGTACTGACCCTTTCTCTCCACTCTCTCCAGAACACACACAAAACAGTGCTTATCGTGCTCCCCTCTGTCTTCTCCTCCCTACTCTCCCACACTCCTAGGTGGCCCCTCCCTCACTCCCACCCCGAATGCTAACAGCGTCCTCCTCATCATCTTCCTCACGCTCCTCCTCACCTTCATGTGCTCATCATGCTCCTCTCTTCCTTCTCCTCCCTCCTCTCTCACGCTCCCTAACGCACCCCTCCTTCCTTTTTGTCCCTCCCAACCCCACCCGCAGTACTGGCAGCGGTCAGAAACACAGAAGACCATATTCATCCTGCTGCTCTTCCTCCTCTCTCATGCCCCTTAACCCACCCGATATCCTTCGTTTCCTTTCGTCCCTCCCGCTCCCACCCGCAGTACTGGCAGCGATCGGAAACACAGAAGACCGTGTTCATCCTGCTGCTCTTCCTCCTCTCCTTCCTCCTCACCATCTTCCTCACGCTCCTCTTCACCTTCATGTTCGTTCCACGCCAGCAGCAGCAGCATCCGCCCTCGGAAACACCACAACCCTCGTTACAGTCACTCCCAAACGAAAACACCCCGTTACAGTCACCTTTGTTACAGTCACAATCAGCAGACTCCGAAGCACAGTCGGCCGACTCGTCAAGTTCACCATCATCACCTGTGGTAGACGGATCCGAAAATTCATCACCATCACCAGCATCGGAACCACCGTCTGAGTGGCCTGCTTTGGACGTATCCCAGCCTCCAGATGCAATGGTTGGCTCTCTCCAAGTGAAGGTGAGCCGCTTTTCTAGGAACCTAATATGAGTGGCTTTCTTTGGACGTATCTCAGCCTCAAAATGCAATGGTCGGCTCTCTCCAAGTGAAGGTCAGTCGCCCTCCTCACAGTCCCCCGTGCTATTCGCCCATCTCTGATCCTCCATTGCTCTGACCCATCTCACAGCCCCCTTTGTGCTCTGCCCCATCTCACACCTGGCTTGATGACACCAACGTTTCCCCGTATCTCTTCACCACTCCCCCCCCCAACTTTTTCCCATTCTCCCATGATGCAGTATTGGGCCACATGGCTCGATGACCGGTACGAGACAAGCCGAACCGACATGCCAGGCTACCTCTGGGCGAGGCTACAGTTCCAGCTACACTTTCCTTCTCTCAAAACCTTCTTATCCGCAACCCAAAACTTATCTATAGATCTACTGTACCTCAACACCTCTCTCGCCCCGCCAGACAAGGCAACATCGTATCCAAAACCCAGCCCAAACCTCCTCCCCTGGCCAATCCTAGACTACAGTGCACTGAACTCTACAGAAGCAGATTCGCAAATAGTTAGAGCGATTTGGGAGTGCAACAACTGTAGAATTCCGGGCGGGCATGGAGCGGATATGGAGGAGGATGAGAAGGATGGAGAGGTGCTAGTGGTGATGCGGGTAAGAGTGGATGGGAAGCATCTGAGAGTGGTGGGCTCGAGCCACGTGATTGGTCTGAATCGGACTGTCACGCTGAATGAGATCGGAGGGTCCAGAGGAGCCGCACGTCCACGGCAAGGCATGGACTTTGTCTTTGCTGTTGTGCCGCATAAATGATGGAAAGGGGAGTTCGTGAAAATGTCCAGTACAGCATGAAGGTCAATCATATTGACAAACTACTGACTATTTCTAACGTGGTGACTGGCTTGCTTATCAGATTGGTTGTTTGAGTGCAACTGGTGGGTTTTGCATGCAGTGCAGAGCTAGGATAATGAGGCTGGTTAGGCCAGTTGAGTCTTTGGAGTACTGACAATGTAAGGGCGTGTTCCTACGGCCTCATATCAGGAAACCTCGTATCAAGAATGCACTTTTTGCCTGGTAAAACTAGCGAGAGGTTTTGGGTTTAGGGGAATTCTCAGTGTGAGCCTGATACGAGGTTGTCTTGATACGAGGATAGGAACACGCTCTAAGCAGTGAGCAAGATGTCGCAGGAAACAAGACTTACAGTGTGAACATGGAGATACTCTACGCCATTAGACCTCTGGCTCTGGCTCATTTCATTTACACATGATGCCCAACCAGTGCACGTGAATTTGCCCTGCACCGGATGGAAACGCTGCACCCGAGGTCTTTTCCCCAGCCTGTTGCACCCACGATACTAGCGCGTCGCGTGGTTATGGACCAATAGTAACGAACAGACCGAAGTCAAACTGAAGAGACCGAAGTCAAAATGTCAGCGGATAAGGTTACAGATCCTTAATATAAGCACCTGCGAATCCTTTTTAGCTAGCTGCGAATTGACGAAACTTATGCGAAATTCTCGATACAGCTTATACGCCCCCTTCACAAGGCAACCGGGAGGGGCTCAAACAGGCATCAATTGTATTACAGCCAACGTTTCTTAGTCACTTGACCTGTACAAAGAAACATGGTGCCAAAAACGTACCGTAATCTGACCAGTCCCCTTCCTGAGATGTCCTGCAGCCAACCAAACCAGCCTAGACTACCCTCATGCAATGCCAGTATTCATACAATTCCTTGCCTCATCCAGTCCTGAACTGACAAGACCCTTGCTCGACCATCAGGCTGCAGCCACAGCAACTTCATCTTGAAGTCCCCCACCCTGCTGCTGGTCCTCCTCTGTCGGTCCATCCATCAATCTCTCATCAGCATCAGCAGCATCGTCCGCTGTGGCCTGAACCTCACCAGACGTATGCTCCTCTAGAGAAGCCTCAGTCTCTTCTTCGCCTGAGGAGTCATCAAGAGTCATTTCTTCAACGACAACGAGCGCAGGATCCTGCGCATCCCCGTTCTCTGCTGCAGCCACCTCTGCAGCTTCCTCCTCTTCTGCCGCTTTAACAGCTTCCTGAATCGCGACTTCAAACGGCTCCTCCTGAGCGCGGAACTCTAGCGAGTCCTCGTCCTGAGTTTCCAGAAGCGTGTCAACGCCGGATTGGCAGACCGGGAAGTCGTCGAAGGCCGCTCGAGGCAGCTGCTCGCTGATCCCGAATCCAACAGAAAAGTGGATCAAGCTTGAAGTGGCGTCGTCCACATAGATCGATCTCACGGAGACCCAAAACGGCAATTCTGGAGGCTTCGCTGAGATTCCTTTGACGTTTGAAATTAACCCGTACTGCAGCCTGCCGGTAAGAACGGTTGAGTAGTAAAGAGGAATCTCACCCGTGTTGTGCACAGATGTGCGACACGTGGACGGTAACTGCACTCGGAACCATCCCTGATTGTTGATTTCAGCCTTGATAACAGTCTTCGGCAGCAGGCCGACCGGGAGGCCGTTTTTCTTTAGAGTTTCGAAGGGATCTGGGTCCAGATTAACGGACAGATCTACTGGTGCATTTATTGGCTGCTGCTTAGTCACGACCGGTGGCGAGATAGGAAGGAATCTGGCGGAAACAAAGCAGGCGCATCCCAGAATTAGGACGAAGTAGACCAGCGAAGATTGAGCCATGGCCAAAAGAGGTATCTAATATTTAGCAGCAGCGCTCCTTCCCAGGACGAAGCTGAACAAATTTGACAAAGAGACAGAATATTTTGCTGACAGAAGCGGTTTTCTTCACCGAGTGACCTAGATAGAGACTAATGGTTCTGGGCGTAAAACATACTTCAGCTTGGCCGCCTGTCCCGAGAGGCAGGCTTTGTTCAGGGCTCGGCTGGAAAAGGGCCGAACCTACCGCTTCACACACCACTGGCCAAAGGTGATAGGTTGTTATGAGCGTGGTGGTTCGCTTTACGAGTAGGTGACGTGCCAGTTTCAGCTTCGGTATGGATCCACGTCAGTAGCTTCCAAGCCCCCTCGAAGTTGTCGTGTAAGGTTTGGTAAACCATGGGTTTGGTCTAGGTTTGGGAAATCGAAACCTCAACCCTGGGCCTGATCGACTCATATTGGAAGTAGTAACTTCTGCATGGTAGCTGAAAGGGCTTGTATCTATCAAGTCGAATGGCACGCATTATGTTTCGTTGGTTCAAGGACGTGCTGCATTCAACTACAATTGAAGGATTTAGATGCCGAAACAAACCCAGCTTCAGCCATCGTACGAATTTGAAAACACGGCCTCGTATTCTGGATATGCCGCACGATGGCCGCAGTTACAGTTTCGACGGCGCGCCACGGCTTGGTCATGACGTTCGCCCCGTCGCCCACCAATCAGGATAACGACCCGAAGGAGTGGTCGAACGAATCCTCCAGTCTGGTTTGTGAAGGAGAAAAATGAGGTTCCGAAGCAACTTCAAATTACACTTTCAGGAGATCAGTTTCATATGTTTTTACAGGTGGTCTATGGTGGGAGGGACCGTTTCCACTTCTTCCTATCTTGGGTCCTGTTTGTAGAGTGTAAGGAAAATTCCTTTTCCTTACTTCGCGTCCCCGCTCAGCGCGTACACCACTGTAGCACCACAGTCACAACCGTTACCACTCGCAACCCTCAAATCGACAATCCTCCCGCCACCTTCGCACGTCGCACCCCGACCTCACGGCTCGGCGGGTAAACCCGCGCTCCGGGCCTCCGCTTCGACATTTTCCCCAACCTCAGTCCCAGGCCCGTCGCGCGACAACCACAGTCCATTACCGTTACCACTGTAGTTTCGCTATATATTCTTCGCTCATGCCTTCGCTCATTGTACTCTTGCTTCGATAGAGCAATCCTCGCTTGCTCACTCAATTGCACTCGTAACACTTGGTATTCAGAGCCTACGACCTCTTCTTGGACCGCACCCACACCTTCACTTCCCCAATATCTCAATTTTTTGGGGGGGTTAGACGTCTCTCAGCGACACAACATCGCCGCTCGTAGTGCTCTCTCGTAAGCACGCACGGCCACGACAGAGGCTCTCGCTGAGCTCGCCCAACACCCCCGCCATGGCCGAATTCACGCTCGCGACGTTGACGCAGGAGCAGCTTGACCGTCTGGTACGCCAAGTTGAAGAATCGGCGCTCGAAATTGCGACGCTCACGGCGGAACGTGACTCCGCGCGTCAGCAATCCACGGTGAATACTCCAGCGCCACCACACGCACCGACAAATGCATCTGCACAATCGGGCGAGCCGATCGTCATTTCGTCCGGCACACCAACACAACACGACAGCGTGGGACAGCGCTCAGGTGCAGCCAGTGATGGCGCCGCCCAGCCGATGCCTGGCATGGGAGGAAACAGGGTCGCACCAAGCCCGCGGGAGCCTCGTGAAGCCCGTCGGCACGTGGGGTTCGCGGCGACAAGTGGCGAACAGGCCATTATGGCACCAATGCCACTCAAGCCGCAACGTCCGCCTTGCTTCGACCCGAGCCAGCGTGGAGGTCCGACGGTTCAATCGTGGGTCTTCACGATGAACGTCTTCTTCGACGCGAATTACGTCGAGTCGGACGCAACGAAGATCCGATATACCGTCTCGCTGCTGAGGGGCCCCGTCATGGACTAGTGGCGAGTCATCGTGACGTCGCCACGCGCCTACGAGCCACCGTCGCAAGAGGAAGGGCCCACGGGTCCAGCTGTCACTTGGAGTTCATTCTACGAAACCGCCCAGTACAGCACGTGGGATGCGCGGTGCGCAGGGCTTCGGGCGCGCTTCGAGCCAATCGCGGCTTCTATTTCGGCGCGTCAGAAACTGCGTACTTGGCGGCAGCTCGGGTCGGTTCAAGACTACACGAGCGGTTTTCTCGCATTATGCGAGCAAGTCGGCTACATGCACGAAGCGGAGCGGGTGGACCGTTACGTAGGAGGGCTGAAGCCGGACATCTCGCACGAGATCATGCTACGCGGGCTCTCGAACTTCAACGAGATTCTCGCGCTCGCCGAGAAAATCGACATTTTGTGCCGTCCGAGACCGGGGTCCTACTACGGACATCGTCCTCGCGGACCGATCGAGCACGCCACCGTACACGCCGTTGCGACGAATGCAGCTGCCGCACTGTTTAAGGGGCGCTGCTTTGCTTGCAATAGGCCGGGCCATCGCAAGAGTGAATGCCCAGAGGAGCTGAGGCGCCGCGGAGCAGAGCAGGGGAGGGAGTCTCTAAGGCAGGGAAACGCCAACAGTTAGTAGGAATCGGGCCAACTACAGACGAGACTGCCTGCTCGCCCAACCCCACCGACCCTCACCGAGTCACAGTACCGATTCATGCTATCGATCGGGCTCGGACGAATAAGGAGGGTACAGCGACGGATTGCCCAGTACTGATCCACGGGAAAATACAGGAAGCAGGAGTGAAGATTTTTATCGACGGAGGAGCAAGTCACAGTTTAGTTAATACCGCAACCGCACGAAAACTGCAACTGACACTTAGCCGTTGTTTACCTGAGATAGACGCACGCTTAGTTGACGGCACGCCACTGGCCATACGGGAGAGGGTGGAGAGAGTCAAAGTCCGCTGCGGGGGAAATTTCGTATTTACACAGGAAATGCTGATTGGCTGCAACGGTATAACCCGCGAATTGACTGGACGACGGGTAGCTGCACTGTGCGAAGTAGCGGTAACTGGGTTGAGCTACCTCGCTGGCAGTTGCCTGAGTCTTCAACGGTACACGTCAACTCCGTCACCATGAAACGGGTTGTCGCTGCTGGAGCTGACGTGTACGCAGTAGACATTTCAGTAGTAGAAGGAGCAGAG